GGAAAGAGAGCCTAACAGATTGAACCTCCGTAGCTTCTCTGTGGAGCTGCCCCTGACCTGGCGGCCAGAGGATTTCTCTCCCACAGCTGAATCCATGCAAAACCCAGAAATAACCAGCCTGGCATTGTGATGACCTATGAATCCATGCATTCATTCAACAAATATTTTTCACTCTTTTCTGTGAGGGCAAACACAGTTCAAGCTACTTAGGATGCATCAATGAGAAAAACAGGCCCCAATCCTCGCCCTTGTGGAAGGAGGCAGATAAAAAGCAATAAACGCAATAAATGTTTTCTGTGTAACACGTCGGAGAGATATGCTATGGAAAAAATCCAAACAGAGCAGGGTGAGGAATCTGAGGGAAAGGAGGGGAGGTTTAAAGCAGATGTGCGGGGCCTTCCTGAGCAGGTGCCGTCTGAGCAGACGTGAAGGGGTGAGGGAGCAAGCCGCAAGCATGTGTATGTCTAGAGGTGGACGTGAATTCATTAAGGGGGTGATCAGAAGGGAAACCAGCAGGGACCCAGAGCACTGGGAGTTTGAGGGACATGGGAGCCATCAGGGAGTTTGAGTCATGCATCCTTGTCTTCAAAGGACGACTCTGACTGCTCCACTGGGAATAGACTGTAAGGGGACAATGGGGCTGCTGCCGTGGGGATGACAACAAGAGGCCACATTGTGAACTTCCAGCTTTATCTACTGGCTGTCTCTTCCATTAGTATCTCTACTCACTCCTGCCTTTTCCCACAGCATCCCAGCAGCTGGTGTCTTCAGCGTCCTTGGGAGGCTGCTGGCACTCATTCATTCATATCACCTTGGAGATATTTATTGGGCACCTGTTATGTGCCAGACACAAATATGAATAATGTCCTGCTCAGAGAGACAGCAACCATTTGGGATTTCTCATCTCTAGGCCATCACCAAAGTTTTTTGTTTGCTTATTTATTTTTTATTTGTTTGTTTGTATTTGAGGCAATGTCTCACCCTGTTGCCCAGGCTGGAGTGCAGTGGCACGATCTTGGCTCGCTGCAACCTCCGCCTCCTGGGTCCAAGCAATTCGCCTGCCTCAGCCTCCCAAGTACCTGATATTACAGGCGCGTGCCACTACCCCCAACTAATTTTTTGTATCTTTAGTAGAGACAGGGCTTCAACATGTTGGCCAGGCTGGTCTCAAACTCCTAACCTGCCTTGGCCTCCCAAAGTGCTAGGATTACAGGCATGAGCCACCACACCTGTCCCAAAGTGCTGGTATGTAACAGGCACACCAGGGACCTCCTCTAAGCCATATTGAACTTTAAGTGTCCGGGTTCAGCCCAGCGTTTTATCAGGAAAACACAGTTCAGAGCTCCAAATCATTCCAATGTTTCTATGTGCTTCTTAGAGAATCCAAGAGGGAACCCAATTTCTAACTCCAGGCACCCCTTCTTAAAAACCCTTTTTTCCTGCCCTCCCCAGTCCTCCCTCCCTTATTCTTTAAGGCCCGTCCCCATGCCTCCCTCCCGCTTCTCCCCTGGTCCCTTCTGCCAGCTCCACTCAGTTCCTTCCTGGTTTCTCTCACCTCGCCAGCTCTTTTCCAGACGCAGCGTCCCAAAAGTCAAGGAACTGGGCAAAGACATGTCATGTGGTGCACTGGGAAGGAGCTGGGGAAGGTCGACGTGACGTCGACCCTCACACACTTGACGAGTCCCACTCACACCAGACACCATTCCTGAGGCCGACCCCTGGCCTCCTACCCTCTGATCTGGAGATGCCATGGCCTCATCCATGTCCCTAGGTGTTTCCTGTGACCTGTGCCCACCTGAGGCCCAGGTTGGGACAGAACTGGAAGGGAGGATGCTCAGCACAATCTGCTCCGGTCCCCACGGCCCCCATGGTCCCCATCTCTCATGGGGATGACCTTGGACCTTGTGGAGGTCCCTCTCATGGGGATCTCCCCTCCAAGGAGAAAGGGCTACATATGCCCTCACTTAACTGTGTGCCCTTGACGCACCCCAGACCTACATCCAAAGCTGGCACACCCCCTTAGGGCCTCACTGTCCTCATCTGCAGAAGAATAGTACCTTAGAAGGTTTTGTGAGGATTAAATGAGATAATATACGTGCCTGGCACATTTTCGGTGTTTAATAAATTCCAGCTGTCATTACTGTGATCTTTCCCCACGCCCACATTCCCTCTGCTGCCGGATTATAAACTCCTTGCAGTTTGAGCTGGTTCATCTTTGTATAGCCAGTGGCTAATTCAGGGCTGGAATACAGTAAGTGCTTATCAATCCTGGATGAATCGATAAAAAATATGCATTAACCAGGCCCCCATGGGATTTAAAGTTTATTCTTTCCAAGAGGTTCTAACATTCTTTTTTTTTTTCTTTGTAATATAGATTTTGGTTTTTTTATTTGCATGTATATATATATATTGGGTTTTAAAAAATGATTTCAACTTTTAGATTTAGGGGGTACATAAACAGGTTTGTCACATGAATATACTGCATGATGGTGAGTGTTGGGGTATGAATGATCCTGTCACCCAAGTGGTTAGTGCAGTACCCAACAGTTAGTTTTTTAACCCTTTCCCACTCCTCCCCTCCCCCACCAGTAATCCTGAGTGTCTCTTATTGCCATCTTTATGTCCATGAGTAGACAATGGTAAGGTCCCCCACCTGTGAGTGAGAACGTGTGATATTTGGTTTTCTGTTCCTGCATTATTCCCCTAGGTTAATGGCCTCCATGTTGCTGCAAAGGATATGGTTTTTTTCTCTTTTATGGCTGCATGACATTCCGAAAGTGTCAGTGCTGAGGGAGTCTGCCGCAGTCTGTTCTCAGATGTCCCTGATCTAAGCCCTGCTCCCTGGGCCAGGGACAGTGTGGGTAGACAGGGTTGGATAAGACGCCTGTGGCAGAAATCCACCCCAAGGTGGCCTGGAGCTGAGTTCCCGGTTCGCTGCATGTCTGGGTGCTGGCTCCCTAAGGCTGCGTTCCCCAGTCAGCATTCTAGACAGGAGCGAACCAGGATACGGAGCGGATGGAAGGTGGAGAGGGGGACACGTGGCTCTGTCAGGAAATGAAGGCCGCCATCTTGTCCTCACCCTTGCCCCCTGCCCCCCCCCACCCCCTCGAAGTTGCCAGGCTTTGCTCCAGCCACCAGAGATCTCCTGAGAGAAGGCCACTCGCAGAGACAGCAGCTCCCTCCCTGCTCTTTATCTGCCTGCTGCCGCCAGTAGCCTGACAGGAGATAAGCCCGGAGCTGTCTGGGCCTGAGCCCAGAGGGAGAACATAATTAAAAAGCCACTGCTGGCCTGGCAGGGTGCCGGGGTGTGGGGAGGCGCACATGAGGATCTCAGCTGGGGATGTGGAGAGGACCCAGGGGGAAACAGTCCCTTCTTTGAGAAAGAGCAGAGTAATCAGCACTCATTGAACAGCCTTGCAAATAAAGGGCAGCAGGCTACCAGCCCAAGGGAGATTTGCCTGGTACCTACCCCTAGGCAGGAAAACCCAGAGGGAATGTGACCTTACACTTCCATGCCACACCCTTCATTTGACTTTGCTTCCCATCCCCACCCCACTTCTCCAAGGCATGTGATTACTTGGGCAGGGGGTCTCAGGAGGCCCGAGATCATTGAGACATGGTCCTGAGAAGTGCCACGGAGGCCTTCATGCTGCAAAGCTGAAAGCCACACATTCTCTCATTCATGCCATCAGCACAAAGGGGGTTGTGAGGCCAAAGCCCGAGTCCATCTGGGCCGTGCCAACCTAGGTAGTGCCTACACTGTAACGGGAAGCAGAGAGTAACAGACATCACTCAGAAACAGAACGCAGCACAGCAAACGGATAGCAATACTCTTGGGGAGAGAAACGCGGCTCTGTGCAGGGATGACGGCGGATGCTGAGCACACTGGTCTGGACTCCCTGTGGAGGGGACCTGAGTTGACCCTGAAGGATGAGTAGAGGGTTACTAGTGTAAAAATGGGCATGGGTGGGCCTTCCAGGAGGAGTAGCAAGCATGGGGATGGAAGGAGCAGGACTCGTGTGTGGAGTGAAACTGCTGAGACCCACAAGGTGTGTTGGGGACTGTGGTGATGCTGGGCTGGGGAGGCCAGCAGAAGCCCGACCCCACAGGGCTCCAGGCCACCTTAAGCTTTAGCTCTCTGTCCAGGGAGCAAGGGAACCCACTGGTGGGGAGCCCAGAATGGCGAGGGTAGCAGAGACCTGTCCACTTGGTGTGTCCAGTGGGTGGAAATGGATTCAAGAGGCAGAGGAGGAGCTGCAGCCCAGGCGGAGGTGACGGTGGCCTGGCACAGGGTGCTGGTGGTCACAAAGGGAAGACACGGATGGATACAAGGGCTTTTCCAGAGACGAAGCACGGGTCTTGGCAATGGATTGGTTGTGGGGATGGTGAGAAGGAGGTGCAGGAATGACTCCCAGGTTTCGGCCTGTACACCTGGAAGAAGGTGCTCCCTTACTTTGGTGTCCGTTGAGAGGGGCCCTCACCTGCCAGGTGTTCACTGTAGTGTGCAGGCTCAGCACAGTCCGAGAAGGTGGGATGTGGTGAGCTATTCCAATGCCCTCATTCTGCAGAGGCAACATCCGAAGCTCAGGGATGACTGGACTCACGAAGGATCGGGTCAGAGCCTGGGCCCCTCAACCCCACTTCCCACGTGGTCTGTTGGGGAGAATTCCAGGCTGAACGTGAGGCTCCCTGGACTCTAGCCCTGACTGTGCTCCAACCCTTTGAGTGAATCTCAGCAGGTCACGTGCTTCCAGGCCTCAGTTTCTCTACTTGTGAAATGGAAAGAAACAGAATGGCCACTTCTCCTCTCGGGGAAGGCTGGTAGTTATCGTGCAGTCACTGACTGGGAGGTTCCTGGGGAAAATGAAAAGAATGAACCCCCAAGACTGCTTGGGGGTGTCTGAAATGGGAAAACTAGGTTGTGGGGATCTTGGGGAGCCTCTCCCCACCTCCTGCCCTTCCTGTGTCTCACAGGTTCTGAAGGCAGAGTAGCCAGCGGGATGCCCGGCTTGCTGAATTGGATCACGGGGGCAGCCCTGCCCCTCACGGCGTCTGATGTCACCTCCTGCGTCAGTGGTTACGCCCTGGGCCTAACTGCCTCCCTCACCTATGGCAACCTGGAAGCCCAGCCCTTCCAGGGTAAGGACACCTGCTGAGGCCTCCCCAGGGCCACCCCCTCCTCCACACTGAACCCTTGTCTTGACATTTACTTGCTGACTGACCTTGGGCAAGTCATGCCACCCCTCCGAGTCTGTTTCCTCATCTGTAAAATAGGAAGATCATTTCTGCTCTGCAGGCCTCAACGCTGATAGCAAGGAGGGTCCGGATTTGAGCTGAGGCGGTTTGGGTTCAGCCCCAGCCAACTCTCCCTACACTTTTTTTTTTCTCTGAGACAGGATCTCACTCTGTTGCCCAGGCTTGAACACAGTGATATGATCTCGGCTCACTGCAGCCTCCACCTCCTGGGCCCAAGAGATCTTTCCACTTCAGCCTCCCAAGTTTCTGGGACTACAGGCATGTACCACCACACCCAACTAATTTTTGCATGATGGGATTTTGCCATGTCACCCAGTCTGGTCTTGAATTCATGAGCTCAAGCAACTCACCCACCTCGGCCTCCCGAAGTGCTGGGATTACGGGCATGAGCCACGGTGCCAGACTGTCCCATACTTTTACAATCCCAAGGCACACTGTCCACTGCTCAGTCCCATGCTTTCTCCAGAAAGCCTCACGAGAGGAGAGGCATCAAGACTCAGTCGAAGCCAGGAGCCCCCACTCCTAGCCATGGCTCTTGCTCCTATGAACCTGGGGAGGCTGCCACCCCCTCAAAATCAGGACGCTCCTTTCTGCTGTCCAGATGCCCCAGGCGGTGGCGTAGCAGATGAGGTAATACAGAAGGCAGAATGTTGTGGACTCAGAAACCATCTACGAATACGCACCATGGTCCAGGTGTGGAAGCACACTGGCCTGTCAGAGTCATGTGTAAATTAAACTCCTTCCACTTCAGGAGGGGGGTTGTGGGAAAGCTCACTAGGCGGGCACTGGCCAGGATTCCCTTCTCATCCACAGTGATGGGGCCTCCTAACCACCAGACTTTATGTCTGTGGTCACCAACCTGAGGTTCTGAAACACCTGCGGGGCTGCCCTGGGGACCAACACTAGCCAAAGGGAGCTGCAGGGAAAATTTCTTCCCCTTAGAAATCTCCTGGGCAGGGTAGGTGGCCTTGTTCCTGTGTCCAAGGAAACCTAGAGAGGGTGACTTAAAATAGATCCACCTGCAGACTCAGGAGGCTAAATAACCAAATGACTTCGAACAGCCTTTTGGCTTTTCACATGTAGAAGGAACAAGTCCCCCATTTTACAGATGAGGAAACTGAGGCCCAGAGGAAGTGGAGGTCAGGGTTTGTGGGGGCTCACTCCGGACCCAGCATTGTGCTGTTCTGTTGTTAAGAGGGTAGATAAAATGGAACCTTGATACTGTACATTACACGCGATTCCAGTCGCCAGCATTACTCAGAAGCTGCTTAGAACTGCAGGATTCCTACATTTTAACAAAAACCCCCTGGTCATTCGTGAGCTTCTAAAGTTTGAGAAGCACTAAGATATAAAAACGTGTGGCACAGCCGGGCACAGTGGCTCACGCCTGTAATCCCAGCACTTTGGGAAGCCGAGGTGGGTGGATCATGAGGTCAGCAGTTCAAGACCTGCCTGGCCAAGATGGTAAAACCTCATCTCTACTAACAATAGAAAAATTAGCTGGGCACGGTGGCAGGCGCCTGTAATACTCAGGAGGCTGAATTGCTTACAGCCGGGCAGCAGAGGTTGCAATGAGCCAAGACTGCACCACTGCACTCCAGCCTGGGCGACAGAGTAAGACTCTGCCTCAAAAAAAAAAAAAAAAAAAAAAAAAAAGTGTGGCACATGGGCTTAATAAATGATGCCTATTTATTCAATTGTCGCAGTGACCCTGTGAGTGGGCTTCGTTATCCCCATCTTACAGATTGTGCTAGGAGGCCCAGAGAAGTTAGGTGTCTTATCCAAGGTCACCTGGCTAGAAAACATGACGGGTCCTGGATTAGAACCGTAGTCTTCCTGCAAAGCCCCACATTCCATGCCACGGCTGGCAAACTGTGGCCCATGGACCAAACTGACCACACAGATGGGCTTTATGAGGCCCACACAAGTTCCATAAAAACCCATGCTTTCACTTTCTTGGAAAATCAGAAGTTCTGACCACATCAGGCTCACACACCTGCAAAGTAAGAGCTGGTCCTGCCGCCATGCTTACCCACGTGGTCTCGGAGCTGGGAGGTCCCAGCCCGGCTCTCTGCCCAGGCCTCCTAGCATCTGCTAAGTGGCAGAGGGCACCACCTATCAGGCTGGCCAAGGGTTCAGGTTCCTTCCAGACAAGGGGTGTACAGGGTGGGCCTAGGGCACCCCGCGATGCTGGGCTCTGCTCTGACAGGCCTCTTCGTGTACCCCCTGGATGAGGGCACCACGGTGATTGGCTTTGAGGCAGTCATTGCAGACCGCATTGTGACGGTACAGATCAAGGACAAAGCCAAGCTGGAGAGCAGCCACTTCGATGCCTCCCATGTTCGATCCCCAACAGTCACAGGTAAGGAAGCCAGAAGGGCTGCAGCGGGACCCGGGTTTGGCCAGCCAGAGGCTGCTGGGGCTGGAGCCTCAGGCAGACTGCAGGGACAGCGAGGGCATAGGAGGGAGAAAGAGCACTGACCTAGTCAGGAATCGCAGGTGAAGTCCTGTGCCACCCTGGGCCAATAATTAACTTCTCTGAATCTCAGCTTCACTGTCCGTTAAGACAGAGGTAATTGACTTCCTGTTGTCACCTCAAAAGTGTGAGGATCAACGGAAGGGAGGCAACAAAAAGATTTTGAAGATCTCTCTAGAGAACAAACTAATGTCTTTTACGCTCAGAGGCTGTGGGGTGAGTCACATCAGGATTTGACTCCCTTTCCTGTTGTTCACAAATGGTGTAAGCTTAGAGAAAAAATAAACCTCCTCTGTAGAGTGGAATGAATAACGGTCTTCACCCGATGCTGAATCGGGACAATGCATGCAGAGTATTTACTCACATCGCAGTAAATACTCAAAGCATGGCTACCAAGGCCTGCTATTGAGGAAACTGAGGCTCAGAGCGTGAGAGCCACTGGCTCAAGGCCAGTAGAAGGCAGCTGTTAGTGCCTTTTAGACAGCAGGTCACACAGCATTAGTGGCAGAACCAGGGCTAGAACACAGACCAGCTGTCATATGATGTAAGAGATTCTTACTATTGGACCTGCGATCGAGGTAAAGTTCGTTCGCCTGGTTATTAAAATGTTTAATGAGCACTCACCGTGTGTAAGGTGCAAAGTTACCCTTGAGTTGTGATGATTTACTGCTCTCTGAAAGACTAGTTAGGATCTGTCTAAGAGTAACCATGACAGGAGCAGGAGGTGAAAAGTGGCTGTGTCCAGAGAGGCTGTAATGACGTCAGAGGAAAAGGCCAGCCCAGATCAGGGACCAGGGAGGTGTTCATGGAGGGCTTGGATGGGTGGGCCGACGGGCTAAGTACGGATGAAGGAACGGGTGTTTCGGATGAAAGGAAAGACTACGAGCAAAAGTATGAATCCCCGAGGTGGGAGATGCTTCGATTTGGTTCTTGGGGTGGGAAGTAAAGTATGTAGGTTGGAAACTGTTGGGGTTTTGTGAGTCCAAGTTTTCCACTCCCAGCAAGATAGAGTGGAAAGTTCACAGGCCTAGAGTCAGACACACAGGGTTCAGATCCTGGTTCAACGAGTTACTCATTCACAAGTCACACCCTCAAGCTGAGCCTTGGTTTTCCCATCAGCAAAATGGGGCCACTCACACTTACCACAACAGCAATCTTAGAGGGGATCAGAGATGATATATGTACAGCCCCTGACGCCAGCCTGGCACCTAGGGAACATTCTGCAAGAGACGGTTTCCATCGCCCCTCATTCCTGCACACCGGGAAAAGTGACCTTGGATGAGGATTTGGAGCGGATCCTGTTTGTGGTCAACCTGGGGACCATTGCCCCCATGGAGAACGTCGTCATCTTCATCAGCACCTCCTCGGAGCTCCCGACGCTGCCCAGCGGGGCTGTGAGGGTCCTTCTGCCTGCTGTCTGTGCCCCCACTGTGCCCCAGTTCTGCACCAAGAGCACTGGCACCACCGAGCAACAGGCACAGGGGTAAGGAAGCCCTGCCCAGACCCATCAGAGTCCCAGATGGGCAGCAGAGAGTGTGTCAGGTGACATCAGCAGGGGGCGGGGTGGGGGAGACAGGGAGGAGATGGGGAGGTTCTGCTGTACAGTGCTACCCTCTCAGCCATTTGCTTCTCCCTGCTCACTTTTAGAGCACTTAAAAGTATCCTTGAAATGCCTCTGTAATGGTACTGGCCAGAAGTGATGACATGCACAGCTTGGAATCAGCATTTACAAGCGGTCCAAATTTCATAACTTACTCAAGTGGTACTTTCTGAGCACCTACGATGTGCTAGACACTGGGCTCGTTGTTAGGGATAGAGAAGGAAAAAAAGTCAACATGTTTCCTGACATTTTGGAACTTGGGGGAAGATCATTATCCAATGAATAACACATCTAATTGCGTGACTAATTGTTTATGTACAGAACGCATAATTGACTGAAAAGTACAAGGAAGAGAAGTTCATTGAGCTAAGAGTATAAAACAGGGATTCAACCTGGGGGCTCAGGGACCAGACCAGGCTTCTCCAAAGAGTGATGTTTCAGCTGGGAACTGAATGACGAGGAGGACGTAGGCACAGAGAGGAGTGTTCCTGTGGGTGGCAGCAGCAGGGACAAAGGCCCTAGGGTAGCAAGAACAGGGATCCAGAGAGGAACAGAGGCACAGGTGGCACACAGTGAGACTGCAGAGGCATCGGATGCCCTTCGGCTCTTGCTAAGACTGGGTTTCTCCCAAAAGCAGCAAGGAGCCATTAACAGGGTTTTCAGCAGGAGGAGGAGGGGAACATGACTAGCCCAGTACCTGGACAGTTTCTCTGTTCTTCCCTGGTGGTATAGGAGGGAAAAGGAGGTGGGTCACAGTCTAAGGCACTTACGGCTGAGATCATTTGCTATAAAAGTAAGTGCTATAGGGGACGGAAGGGGACGGAGTGGACAAATGCTATTTTAGCTCCAATGAACAAGAATTTGTAGCCTGACCTGAATAAAGAGGGCAAGCCATGGACATATTCGAGAGGGAGTATTTTGCTCAGGAAGAGTCACAAGTGCAAAGGCCCTGGGGCAGCAGCGGGAGCCATGTATCAAGGCAGCAGCAGAAAGGCTAGTGTGGCTATAGCAGAATGAAAGAGGAAAGGAGAGAGGTCAGACGGGTAGTGAGGAGTGGGATCATGCAGGGCCTTGGAGGATGGCACTTGGCACAACAGAGAAGCTGGTGGCATAAGCCAGTCTCAGACCAAAGAGCTCCGGCCTGCGTGGTGTCTTTGTAAGTGTTGCCAATGAGGATGCACCTTGTGCATTTGAGAGGCAAGGCCTAGCCAGTACATTCAGGACCTAAGTGGATCAGAAGACAAGAGGCTCAGGAAGTCCTGGTGCCACTACGCTTCCTCCTGCCCGTTCCAGCAGGCAGGAATTAAGAGTTAGGAGTGACATTCTTGGGGAAATCCTGCATCAAACCCCTGTGAACCTTGAAGGAGCTCAGATAGAGTGACACAGACAAAATTCAAAACACAGGTGATACCAAGTGTTGGAGAGGAGAGAGGATGATACTCGTTCACTGCTAATAGAAGTAGGAACGGGACAGCCACCCTGGAAAGCACTCTAGCGATCCTTGGCATGTCCTTTCACCCAGGGATCATGGAGAAATTATTTCACAAGTCCAAAGGGAACATGGATAGGGATATTCATAGTCTCACAGGAACATGGATAGTGATATTCATGGTGGCATTATTTGTGGATCCAGGGAGGCGGAGCTGGGAACAACAAATAGAAGGTAATGGAGGTCCCCAGGTGACATCAAGTTAGCAGTGAGGACTTGGGTTTGCAACCACCTGGGCAGAGTTTTAAAACGTAAGATTGTGCCAAAAAAAGTAAGAGCTGGAATGAGATTCATAATATAAGGCAATCTTGTCAGCTTAAAGCACAGTCACCGCCAAATGCTGCCGTGGATTTTACAAGGATGTGTGCATACGGAAGGACATAGATTAAAGACCTGAGGGGGTGTGCCTGTAGAGGGGAGGGGTACAGAGCAGAATGGGATGGGGTGGAGATCACAAAGAAAGAGGGCCCCGAAATGTGAGCATTCAGCAGGTGACTGTCACTCGGCTAAGCAGTTGCTCCTGGAGTCCTCAAAGCAACTGCAAACTATTGTCCCCATTTAAAGGATGGGAAAACAAATGCTTAGGGGAGACATGAATTGCAAGGGTTTGCAGCGCACAGAGACAGAGCAGAGATTCCAGATGCGGGGTGACGCAGTACAGACCGTTTCATCACGGAGCCGGACAGACCTAGGGTAGGAGGTTTGGGCCGGGACTCCGCCAAGTCTTCATTGTGGGAACTCAGGCCAGTCATCTCGCCTCACTGAGCTTCAGTTTCCCCACATGGAAAGTGGAAACCCTGACACCTTCCTTCCAGAGCTGCGGTGAGAATGATGTGAGCTACCCCTCAGGAGCTCCGTGCCCAGCGCTTGGCCCAGCGAGGGTGCTCCTTGGAGGTGGCTGTGCTTTACGTCAGAATCCAGGCTCTCCCTGGGGTCAGGCTAAGTGGGAGAGTGCAGGCTGGGGCCTTGGTGGGCTGGGCTGCCTGGGACTCATTGTCCTCTCCTTGTTTTCTCGTGCTGGGCCCCTGTCTCCACCCGCCTGGCCTCCTTTCCTTCTCCCCGCCCTTTTCTAGCAAAGACAGGCACTGCTTCGGCGCCTGGGCCCCAGGCTCCTGGAGTAAGTTGTGCCTGGCGACTCTCCTAAACACCGATGTGTCCAACCCCATGGAGTATGAGTTCAGCTTCCAGCTGGAGATCCGCGGGCCATGTCTGCTTGCAGGTGAGAGGGAGCTGTCCAGACGGGGTGGGAGGGCTGCAGGCCAAAAGTCAAAAGCTGCCAGGGATGGGACGGGAATGGGCAGGGAAGCCGACTGGTCCAGACGGCAGACCAGCTGAAGCACACAGAGCCTGTGGACCCTGATTTCCCATGGCCCCAGCAAGCAGCCCAAAGATGAGTCCCTTCCCGGGATGGATTTCAAGGCCACTGACTTCCACCCCAATGGCTTCCTTGGGAAAAATGTCCACGGGGAATGGTGGCCCTTGGTTCTCTCCTAATGGCCACAGCTGTAAAGCTGCTTCTGGGTTCTCACCTTGCCTGCATGTCAGAAGCACCCAGAGACATCCTGCAGCCCAGATCCCACCCCCAGAGATTCTGGAGTGTGTTCCGGGCATGGAAACATGTAAAAGCTCCCCAGGAAGTTCTAATGTGTGAGTAGGTTGAGAACTATTGCTCTGAGGTTCTTCCCCAACCACTCAGAGCTTTCAAAGGACACCAGGATGTACTTTCTTGTCAGTGCGTGCGTTCTTAGAGCAACGCTACATTCCAGTGCGAGGTGCATTTACGGAGCACCCATCAAAACAACGCCCTCCAACAGAGCGCTGGGCACCATCTGCTTGGCAGCATCCTGGGGGCTGTGCGTGCCCTATAAGGACCCCCACTACACCCTGAGTACAGAGCAGGAAGAGCCATCAGACACAATCTAAGCCTGCATTTTACAGGTGGGGAAATTGAGGCAGCCTGGCCATGTTCACACTGCAGGTCAAGAACCCCTAATGGGGCTGGCATGTCACTCTTCTCTGGCCTGGGTCTTGGTGTGCTCCAGCCAACTCCTGTCTCTCCTGACCTCGTGAGCCTATATCCCCCTTGCCTTTTTATGCCACTCAGGGGTGGAGAGTCCCACACATGAGATTCGTGCAGACGCCGCCCCAGCTGCCCGCTCTGCCAAGAGCATCATCATCACCTTGGCCAACAAGCACACCTTCGACCGTCCTGTGGAGATCCTCATCCACCCAAGCGGTACGGTGCCCTGCAATGGGCCCCTGGGCTGCCTGTGGGAGGGAGGAAGAGGCGCTGATCCTGTGGGGACAGAACACGTGGCCCCCTGCCCAGCAGCTAGCTAGCCAGGGAGAGGGTCAGGGGTGGGTGTGGCCAAGGAGAGGAGACCCACTATGTGCCTCCCAAGAAAGTTGGCTCTAACTGGCAGAATCGAAAGTCTCCTGCCCTGATTCAAGCTCCAGAGGCCCAGGGTCTCATCCCCCCATCAGGGCACTTCACCCCCAGCCCAGCTGAGCAGAGGATCTTTGAAACCCGAAGCTCAGTGAGACCCTGGAAATTCTGTACCCTCAAGGAGAAATTCTTGTCTGTTCAAGAATTCATAGAATGTCAGGACCTAAGCACATTAGAGAGTCGTTTTACCCCATCTCACTACCATTTCACAGATGGCTTCACTGAGGCCCAGAGAGGGGCAGTGGGTCGCCCATGGCCACTAGGCTCCCCTGCCTCCCAGCTAAGGCGTCTTCCCAAGCCCTACACTGCTTCAGGCAGCCAGGGTTTCCACCCGCTTCCAACTGGGAATCCTACCCCTGTGAGAATCTTGCACCTAAACCGAAGCCCCTGGCATCCCTCTCCTATGATACCTCGCTAAGTGCTAAGAGTCAATCTCATCTCTGCAGAGCCCCACATGCCCCATGTCCTGATAGAGAAAGGGGACATGACGCTGGCAGAATTTGACCAGCACTTGAAGGGAAGAACAGATTTCATTAAAGGGATGAAGAAGGACAGCAGTGCAGAGCGGAAGGTGAGGGCAACTGTGGTGGGGAGCAGATGGTGGCAGAGCCGGGGTGGCGCTGAGGCCTGGTCTCCACTGAACTAGTGAGGTGGGGAGGTGACCTGCTTGAGGTCACCCAGAAAGCTGGAGGCAGACACCAGGCAAGAAGCATTTCCTGGCCAGACACGGTGGCTCATGCCTGTAATCCCAGCACTTTGGGAGGCCGAGGCGGCAGATCACGAGGTCAGGAGTTCAAGACCAGCCTGGCCAACATGGTGAGACCCTATCTCTACTAAAAATACAAAAATTAGCTGGGGGTGGTGGCATGCACCTGTAATCCCAGCTACTCAGGAGGCTGAGGCAGGAGAATCGCTTGAACCTTGGAGGCAGAGGTTCTGGTGAGCTGAGATCATGCCACTGCACTCTAGCCTGAGTGACAGAGAAAGACTCTGTCTCAAAAAAAAAAAAAAAAAAAAAAGTATTTCCTTCCATGGAGCCTGGGGCACTGCAGGGCACTTTCAGATGCCCCGTCATCCTGGCTCTGTTCCCGCCTCTTGCAGGTCACTTTCCCCAGGACCTCACAGGTGCCTAAGCCAAGCAAGTTCACATATGGTAGCAGAAATGGCCTTGGCCTCCTCTGGGCCTCTGCACTTCCAGGGGCATCCAGGACCCTTCAGCTCCTTACCTTCCGGGCCTCCCTTTCCTACCAGCTGAGTAGCTTCTTGCTCTTCCTCCCTCTGGGGCCTTTGCTTGCTATTACATAAAGGACAAAGACAGAGCCAGGAAAGCCTGAGAAAGATCCTTTCCTTCTGCCGTCCCCCACCCCATGAAGCTATAGGACAAGGAGGCCTGGCCAGGGGGCGGGGATGGGAAAGGGAACATTGGAGGCTGAGCACCAGCCACAGGTCACAGCCAGTGCTCTGCGGGAGACACACTGAGCTGGGTCCTGACTACCATGAGAGGTTTCAGAAAGATGGCTCACCTCTCTGCATTAGCCCCATTTGTAGATCAGAAAACTGAGATCTAGCACCCAAAGATCACCAGTGAGCTGGAGAAAGGGAAAGGCGCTTACCTCAGAAGTTAGAACTGGTGACCAGGAGGCTAAGGGATGAGACTGGATTCTGCGGGGGCAGTTGAGCTGGGTTTCACACCACCAGCCATGCTCTGCTTGCCTAGCTGGCACAGGGCAGTGGCAAGGTGGGGAAGTGGACAGAGACCCTACTGGAAGCCGCTGCTCTCCCAGAGGTGCCCCTCAGCCGGATGAGTCAGGTGGGAGAAGAAGCTGGAGGCAGGTTCTCAGAGTAGGGGACGGCAATGCCAGAGGTCCCATCGAGGTCAGAACTGCCACCCCGTGGGCCTCCCAGGCCTGGGGCTGGCTGCCCTCGCTGCAAAGCATTAAATCAATTAGCTTAGGGACTGTTGAAGCAAATGATTTTTCATTTGCCACCTTGGGTTGGTTATGCAAATAGCCTGTATTTTCACAAACTCCGAGGATGACAGCTATCAACCCACAGCTGCTAAGAAGTGAGGAGTTTATTGTAATTGGATAATGGCAGCTTGAGAAGACATTAGAGAATCCTGAGCCAGGGCACCCACCCCGTCCCTCTGAGAGGTAGATAAGGTTTCTGGAGGCAGTTTCTCTCACTGGCAGATGAGGCTGCTGCTGCCTTGGGCTCTATTACTGAAAGAGCCAGGCTGGGCTGTGGCCTCTGGAGGAGGGGCTTCAAGTGGGAGAGAGAGAGAGAGAGAGAGAGATCCCTTGGCAGGGATGAGAGTTGATTGGGGATATCCACAGGTGAACATCAATCAGGAAGTGTGGGTGGGACTAGCTGTCAGAAACCCTGGCTTAGCAAGGAGAGGGCAAATCACACAGAAAGACACACCACGCCCAAGAGGCAGAGATGTCAAGAGAAACAGAGACTGAAAAAAAAAAAAAAATGATGTACACGCAGATCAGTGGCAGACAGAAAGGCCCATGCAGATTCATTCTCTCACTTATTCATTCAACAAATAAATCTTCGGGGACAACGCTGAGAATGACACAGTCTTTATCTTCACGGAGCTCATATTCAGGAGAACTGCTAGAATCCAGGAGGCGGGGGTTGCATTGAGCCAAGATCACACCGCTCAACTCCAACCTGGGCAGCAGTGCAAGACTCCGTCTCTAAAATAATTAATTAATGAATGAATTTTTAAAAACCACCAACGTGCTGCCCTTCCTGTCATCTTTACTGATCCATCTCTGGACCAGGCCCTGTGTTAAATTCCGCAGATGTAAAAGAGGCTAAGGGATGGAAAGACAGAGGGAAAAAAGCAAATCAATGAGCCGGGTCTGTTTGGAGGGGGATGGTGTGATCACGAGTGGTAGGTGCTGGGCGTCAGCAAAAGCCTGTCTGAGGATAGGACCTGGCTGATGGCAAAGAGCCCACCGTGGGAGGAATGGGTGGAGAGGGCGCAAGGGGGGAAAAGCAGGAAGCAGACCAATGGTGACCTGTTTGGAAAACAGGAAGATGGCCAGTGCAGCTGAAATGTAGGGAGCAGAGTCGGCAGAGAGGAGGTGGCCAGGTAGGCAGGGGTCAGGCCACGGGGAGCTCTTCCTAAACCACGGTTCAGAGTGTTCAGGGAGGGCACTGCCTGAGCAAGAGAATGACAAGAACAGTCGCTCTGCAGAATGGACCCCAGGGAGAGAAAAGTGAGACAAAGAGCAGGAAGAGACTATTGCAAAGGTCCAGAGAGAGACGGTCCTCTCCTGCACTTGGGCAGTAGCAGTGGAGATAGAGAGACGCGGACGGGTTCGGGCTGCGTCTTAGCAGCGGGACTGGCAACGCTTTGCTGCAGGATGGCATGTGTGGAGTGAGGAGAAGAGGGGAGCCGAGGACAACTGTTAGGCGTTTGGTTTGAACAACCGGGTGGGTGGTGATGTTGTCTATTGAGTTGGGGAAGGAACCCAAATAGACAGAAACTGAGAAATGGACACAGAGACACGTATACGCAGAGACAGCCAGATACGAGGACAGAGAGAAAGTCGGAGTGGAGAGTGAGAGCAGCGTGAGAACCAAGGAAATGAAACTCTTTTTGGAGTGGAGGGGGAGGAGGCCCTGGCCTCAGGGCCAGCTAGGAGGCCATATGAAAAGATAAGCGGCCAGGCCAGGCCAGGTGGCTCATGCCTGTAATCCTAGCACTTTGGGAGGCTGAGGCGGGTGGATTGCCTGAGCTCAGGAGTTCAAGACCGGGGCAACACGGTGAAACCCCATCTCTACTAAAATACAAAATGTTAGCCAGGCATGGCGGGGTGCACCTGTAGTCCCAGCTACTCAGGAGGCTGAGGCAGGAGGAATGCTAGAACCCAGGAGGTGGAGGTTGCAGTGAGCCGAGATCACACCACAGCACTCCAGCCTGGGCGGCAGAATGAGACTCCGTCTCTAAAATAATTATTTAATTAATTAATTGATTATCCATCTCTGGACCAGGCTCTCCGTTAAATTCCAGAGATGTAAAAGAGGCTAAGGGATGACCTGCCTTCAAGTATAATAGCAAACCATTTGGCAGGAGGCAGAGATCAGAGCAAACACCGTATTCAGTATGGGAAGTGCTTGGGTCTCCAGGACCGGTAGAGCAGTGACAGTGACAATGATGGCTGCTGTTTAAGAGACAAGTGCTCTCTGCCGGGCAGCCAGCTTCACAAGTGCCCTGAACCCATGCAGCAACTCAGTGAGGTGTGTCTTCTTGTCCTCATTTCATGGATGAGGAAACTAAGTAATGAAGTCCGCCTGGAAATTGGGGAAGGCTTTCCAAACAGGCAGAATTTGAAGAGTGAGTAGGAATTTAACAATGGGAGAGAATCGGTAAATCAGGGAAACCCAGATCACAGCCAAGTGGAAACACGGGAGACCATTATTCAACCAAGGGGCTTCCCAGGTCTGTACTGACTCGGTTCATCCTCACAACCACCCTGAGAAGTGGACATTATTTGCCTCACTTTGCAACTGGGTAAATAGACCCAGAGGAGGGACTCACCCCCATATCACACAGTTGGATGGTGACAGAGCTGGGATTCAAACCCAGGTCTTTCTGCCTGCAAAGTCCACGCTTGCTGTTGTAACCTGTGAAGGTTTAGCAAACAGAGGAGCTGAGCACAGTCAGCCCGGAAGTCTTCTGTGCGGACCCTGAGCCGGAAGTGGATGCATGGTGAGTGACGGGGACCAGCGTGAGTCCCCAGGAGCACCTCTTGGCCCCCTGATTGCCCAAGCAGAGTGTTCCTTTCTCCTCCAGACAGAAATCATTCGAAAACGCCTCCACAAAGACATTCCCCATCACTCCGTCATCATGCTCAACTTCTGCCCCGACCTCCAGTCAGCCCAGCCGAGCCTGAGAAAGGCCCACGGGGAGTTCATCTTCCTCATTGACAGGAGCAGCAGCATGAGCGGGATCAGTGTGCACCGCGTCAAGGTACCTGCTGAGAGGGCCCCTCCCCAGGACCCAGGGCTCCAGGGCCAGGGAAACCAGCTGTGCGCCCCTAGTCCAGCTTCCTCAGCACTGTCTGTTCCAAGAAGCAACTTTTAAAAATCAGTTTAAACAGAGACACCCAAACTCCATTTGCTTCCCCAAAAAAACATAAAGCGGTGTGAGCAGAGGCAGGGCCGGCATCCATTTATAAGGGATGAAGTCATCCATAGCTGTCCTTTGCACTCCACAAACTTTAGCTAAAACACTCCAGTAGGTACTGAGTGGAGCAGGGTACAAAGAAGAGAGGAAGGGAAGTAACATTTGCTGAGGGTGTGCTGTGTGTTGGATACGGTACTAGCCACTTAATGCACAGCTTGGTATCTAACCCAGATGACAATCCTGTGAGTTGGATCCTATTTTACCATTTTCCAATTAGGAAAACTGATCTTGAGAGTTTCAGTCACCTGCTCAAGGTTACATAGCCAGTGTAGTCTGAGACTAAACCCATGTCTACCTGACCGTTCCCACCACCTGACATCAGAGCTTCAGTGGACGTGGTCCCTGCCATCAAGGAATGTGTAGAATTCAGTAGAAAAGATTGGTTTCTCTGTTTTTAAAATGTCTAATACGTGCCATGTGGAAAAACAGGAGAATGTAAACAATGTCTGTCCTCAAGGAGCTGACAGTCAAGTGAGGAGCACAGGCCTGCGAGCCAATCAGAATGTGTGGGAGCTTGGTCTCCCTGCTATGGAGAGCTCCTCAGGAGTGTGGAAGAAACAGTGATAGAACCATAACCCCCACAGTCCAGACGACTTTCACCTGCCTCCCACTCCACCCGCAGGAGATTATTCATCTCGATCGTGGCATTATCCAACACTCCCTTGTATTTTTGCTTGGGCAGATGTCTCTCTCCCTGGAGCTAGGAACTCATTTAGGACACGGGTCATCTATCCTCTCACCTCTCTCTTTCCATGGGGACTAGCTCTGTATTTATGCATAAAAAGGCTTCTATCTCTTTACTGACCCAAGTGAAGGATAACTGAGTTCAGGAAAACAGGGAAGGAGGGACAAGAACAGAGTGGGGCTCTGTCATCACCTGAAATTTCATCTTTCCCAGACCAAGCTGTTGTTTCTAGGGCAACAAGCTCAGCAAGGAGAGGAGGGTTGGGTGAGATCTGGGAGGCCAGCTATCTCTGCAGGCTTGCTACAATTGTCCTGAAATATGACAGAGAAGTCATACACGGGACCCAAGTTCCTGTTTGAGGCCTCATGACACAGGGGGACAGGGCTGATTGCACCTCCTTCCCCAGCCTGCCCACCATCAAAGGCAAACATTGGAATGAGAAGCTGTCCTCGGTGCTGGAGTGCTGAAACCCACTCCAGGCCTCTGTGGCCATCTGTATCCCATTCCACTGCTACGTCAGTTCATAAGATGTCTCAGTTACCCTAGAGCATCACAGAAGCATAAACCTAAAACATGGCTTAGGGAGCATTTAGTCCATTTGCCCTCCATTTTCCAGGTAAAGAAACTGAGTCCCCAAGAGGCTAAGTGCTTTTCCCAGCGCCGCAGGGCTAGTGAGGGAGCCTGAGCCTTCTATGTCTTGCTTCAGAGCTCATTTTCCTTACATTGCTTATGGAGAATGATGCATACTCTTCCACTAAAAAATTTTCTTCTCTGATGATGTCATTTCTGCTGCATGGCATTGTGCCAAGAGCAACACCTGGGTTCCAGGATCAATTCTGCCACTGATTTGCCCTGTGGCTGTGGATGAGTTGATTCTCAACTCTGGGCTTCATTTATCCGTTCCATAAAGTGAGAAGGAAGGATCAATTCAGGCAGAGTGAATGTATGTCACATGTCCCTCCACTCCCCTCTCCTGAGCCCAGGTAGACATCAATAATTGATTATGACTTTTTTTTTCTGCTGAGCCTAGACTCAGTCTACATTCTTCTCATCTCAGTGTTCCAGGCAGTTACTACCGGTTAAATGGAATTGGTTCATAAATGGAAATCCACTTCCTGGGCTGAAGTTCTGTGCAATCTTTGCATTCCGGAATTCTCTGACAATAACTTCCTCTGGCCCTCCTTTTAGTCGTCTTTCTTCTTGGAATCTCTCCTGCCCTTCTCCAGTTCAGCTCACTGAGCGCAAGGTCATTCCTTCACAAACGGCTCTGCACTGGCACCATCCATCCTGCTAAACGTGACCCTTTTAGAGAAAGGCACAGAAATTACTCAGGCTACACATCCCTTTCCCCACTGACAATGAGGGCACTGGAAGGTTGCTCGGGTCATTAATTGTGACCCATGGGTTGAAGTTTTAGGAAAATCTAGGCTCAGAGAGGAGAGAGAAAATAGAAATCCAAACAGCCTATGCCAAAGGGGAAAGTCCAGCCAATTTAATTTCCTGCAGCTGGTCTCATTCTTCAGCTGCCACTTGCTGCCAAAAACATGGCTTTAAAAATTCTAATAGGTGTGAGCAGAGACAATCTGTATGGATCAGCAGAATCTCCTCCTAGCAGGAAGATGCATTCGTGACTAATGAAAAAATAAGCAGACATTGACTTCTTTTGTAGAGAAACCAAATGTATTGATACAAGCAATGAAGAGAGAGAATGTTAATGCTGATGTTTCATGTTAATGTTTGGGGAGGGGGATGGAATTGGGTGTGAACACGTGGAGCCTGGAAATTGATGTGGTGCAAAAGTTGCCAGAATCCACTTGCAGCTGTCTCCTTCTAGATCCTGAAGTATGACAGCTTCCCTGAAGCCATGCTGAGATCCCTGGGGGGTTACTAGCGGTAAACAACACGGGGGCCAGGGGAACACAGACCTCCATTCCTCTGCCAAGGCAGAGCCGACATGAATAAAAATCTCAGAGCTGTGTTTTTAAGGCCTCAGTCATTAGTCTTAGGTTTTGTGACCCAGTGCAATCCCTTAGCTGTCTTGAGCCTCAGTTCCCTTATCTGTAAAATAGGGTTATTAATATTAATATAGATCCCATTGGGTTGATATGATAACCATTTACTGAATATTTAGTATGCACCAGGCTGAGGCTCAGAGGGGTGACATATCTTAGAACATTTAGCATGTAGTAATAGCTTGATATTTATCATTATTGCATTGTATCATAACCATCATCACCATCATGATCATCATCATCAATTTGGCTTCTACCATCACCTCCACCTCCCTCATTGTACTGGTTTTTTTTTTTTTTTTTCTATCTACCTTCATCACGGTCTCCTGGTGGTGCATAGTTACATGGATTATGTTTAGTCTTCATAGATTTTGGAGGGAAAGTGAGATGGCTTTGAGTCCTGACTCCATTATTTACCCTCTGGATGTTCACCAACATGTTACTTCACCTCCCTGTGCCTCAATCTTCTCTTCTATAAAATGGGGATAGTAGTGTACCTGCCTTGAGGGTTATGGTGAAGCTCAGTGAGGTGATGCATGTAAAGAACGTCCAATGTACCTGACAAATATGAGCTGGAGAGACTGCCCCTGAGGATGCGTCCTTGGGTGGTGACTGTTAGGTTGAGTCTGATGCAGAAGGTCCCACAGAGGGCCAGAAGCCATTCCATCAACAGCGTGACCTGGACCAGGCCACTTTCCTCCCTTAGACATCAATTCTGCTTTGACAGCAGGGAGCAGCTCTCCCCACCTCTCAGGATCAGCAAGAAGTTAAGTGGAACTGGCAGTACAGTTATTATATTGTAGTATTATATAGTATTATAATCTAGTTTTGCAGAACTATTGCTTATGAAATGTTTATCCACTTCTTCCTACTGTTCTCTTCACTCCCACCCTCAAAGCTGCTTTGTCTGAGAACCGCTTTCCCTTTAGAGAGGATTTATGATCATTGCTCTAATGTGGTCCAGAGGGGCGTCCTGGAAGCTCACTTTCCCCAACACATTGCGTATGTACTTGCGACAAAATCAGCTACCTAGTGAGTTAAAACCCTGTCATTGCGATCGCAAAAGGAAACTTACTCAAACACATTGGCAAACCATAATAGAAAGGTTTTAAGAAGTCAGATCTGTACATGGATACATCTGATGATGATGTTGATGGTGGTGGTGGTGGTGACAGCGGCTTTGGTCCAGCCTCTGGTCAGTGTCAGCAAATTTCTTGATGTGGGGAAAAGGAGCTGCTGGGTGCAGACGGAGGAGGATAGAGGCCCATTTGGAGGCTGTTCCTGCACTAGGAAAGGGAATACTGGGCTGTGGTGGCTGAGTGGCAAGAGCTCCTTCTTGAATCTTGAAAACTCCTTTCGCTCCTGCCAGGACGCCATGTTGGTGGCCCTTAAGAGCCTCATGCCAGCCTGTCTCTTCAATATCATTGGGTTTGGATCCACATTTAAGAGCCTTTTTCCTTCCAGCCAGACCTACAGTGAGGTAAGGAGGGGGCAAGGTTGGGACCAGGAGGGTGGTGCGTGGTGGGGAGAAGAGGAAAGGAAGAAAAGAGGTGGGGAAGTAAGTAAAACCCTAGGGCTGGCCTCAGAAGCTGCCTACCCACGGAGAACCCAGATCACACCCGGGGGCAGAGAACTAAAGAGAAGCTATCTCTGTTTGGACATTTTTCTGACATCTCAGCTTTCTGACATCCCCCGCTCTTTAGAATCAAACTATTTTGGGCAAAGTGTGTGTGTGTGCAGAGGTGAGGTACAGAAAGTGGGTAGAGAGGGGACATAGCCCAGGCCTGCCACTCACTGAAGCCTCCGTTTCCCACGGAGGATGGACTCACGAAAGGTTGAACAAGGAAGTAGATGATAAGAAGTAGGGGAGTGAATAGGTGGGTGAGTGGGCGTGGCAGTGGGCTAAGAATGGAACTCCTAAGGCTCAAGATACAGTGTGAAACACGAAGGCTGTGGCCCCAGCAGCATGTTCAAAATTGGAGCATCCTACCCAGATCTAAGAAGAGGAAGAGAGGGAAAGGAGGGAGAAAGGAAAGACAAATGGGACACTTTTCAACTAAAAATAATGTTATGAGTTTTAAAAATACAAGAATAATACATGTTGCAGGCGCTTGTAGTCTCAGCGACTCGGGAGGCTGAGGTGGGAGGGTCGCTTGAGCCTAGGAGTTTTGAGTCCAGCCTGGGCAGCACAGTGAGACCTCACTTGCACGAACAACAATGACAAGAGAATAGCAGGTATTGATCGTTTCACAATTTTTAAATGTAGATATGAAAAACAACATTTAAAAAAAGTCTCCTGTGATTATGTCAGTCAGGAAAAAGGAAGAAAAGACACTGCTAAGAGCTTAGTATAAATCCTTCCAGCCCTTGTTCTATGCATTTACACACACTTTTAATAAAGATAGGATTAGGCCTTCCGTACTGTTCTGTAACCTACTTTTCTAACGCAGCAGCCTACCATGCGTGTATTTCCATGCCAGTAAGGATTAATCTGTAACGTAATTCTAATGGCTTCCTAGTATTTCACTACACAGATAGATGGGGACTTATATAACGAAACTCCTGCAGTCAGGCATTAAAGTTCTTCCCATTTTATTCAGTTATCTCTATATCACAGATTTTGCATGCATCCTTAATTATTCCATTAGGATTAATTCCTAGCCTCGCTGGCTCAAAAGCTATACATACATCTTAAGACTTTTGATACATGCCGTGGCTGCTTTTTTTTTTTTTTTTTTTTTTTTTTTTTTTTTTTTTTGAGACGGAATCTCTGTCACTCTGTTGCCCAGGCTGGAGTGCAGTGGTGCGATCTTGATCTCAGCTCACTGCAAGTTTTGCCTCCTGGGTTCAAGTGATTCTCCTGCCTCAGCCTCCCAGGTAGCTAGGATTACAGGCATGCCCACCACACCTAGCTAATGTTTGTATTTTTAGTAGAGACAAGGTTTCACCATTTTGGCCAGGCTGGTCTCGAACTCCTGACCTCAAGTTATCAACCCACCTTAGCCTCCCAAACAAGCTGTTACTTCTAAGTCCCATCCAAGAGTGGCTGTTGAAATAGCATCCCCCTGAACCAGGAGGAGGAAGTGAATGTGTCCAGAGGGAATCTACTCTTGCTGCAAATGACATCTATCCTTGGCCAATTGGGACCCACATAGTTAGTCCAGGAGCAAGGAAATCTGAAGCCTGGATTAGAGAAATGATTTTCTCAAAATGCCATAGGGGGCTGGGGCCAGAGTCAGTCTCCGGACTCAGATCTTAAGATTCCTAGTCCAGTGTTCCTTCCACCACACCACTGACCTCCTTCATCAGAAAAAGAAACCTCAGGTATGCTAAAGAATCAGAGGTTTCATGTGCTACCTCTTCCCGGAGTGCTTCTATTTTTAAAGGGGAACCCAGAAAGGACAAGAGGTTGGCGTTTCAGGCACAAGTAGTGGGTGCTGCTGAGCAGGATGACACTAAATGAGTGGCGACCCATTCTTCCTATAAGTGGGCAGAGATGAAATTGGGGGCATGGGTCAACTCTGGTGAGGTTTAAAGAAGCTCTGGGGAAACAACGGCCTCTTCCCAGGGTGGTCTGGAGTCTCTGTGCCATACGGTGACCCTGGGGACTGTCTGCTTCTCTGCAGGAGAGCTTGGCCATGGCCTGTGATAACATCCAGAGAATGAAGGCCGACATGGGTGGCACCAACATCCTTTCCCCTCTCAAGTGGGTCATCAGGCAGCCAGTGCACCAAGGCCACCCTCGGCTCCTCTTCCTGATCACAGACGGCGCTGTCAACAACACGGGGAAGGTGCTGGAGCTGGTGCGAAATCACGCCTTCTCCACCAGGTCGGCCTAGGCTGCGGGTCTAGGCTCCGTGACTCCAGGCTGCCAGGGCTGGGGCACCAGAGCCCAAGGGAAATGTGGAAAATGCCAGAGGGAGAGGACGGGCCCCACAATTCCCATAGGGCTTTGCTTCCAAGATAGTGTGGGCTGATTTCAAGTTCACCTTTTTCCTTCTCAAGTTCAGAAAGGGTGAGCTACCCATGCCTCTGCACATGACTCCTAAGAGCAGCCCAGGGAGAGGTCCCACAGCCAAGGGAGAGGCTGCTCCCACTCTGTGCTGGGTGGGACTTGATGGGCTGTCTGGGGGTGAATCGATGGGTGTGAATGTGGGTGCCCCCTCATGGCCCCTCTCCCTTCTCACTCTCCCTCTGCCTGGAGATAGGGCCAGCTCCAAGATCCTGCTGGGTCATGCCGTGTCCCTTTCCCCATCAGAAGACAAAGATGCAGAGAAGATGAGACGTAATAGCCTCTCTTCTCACCTTCCCTCAGGTGCTATAGCTTTGGAATCGGACCCGACGTCTGCCACAGACTGGTGAAAGGGCTGGCATCTGTGTCCAAGGGCAGCGCTGAGTTCCTGATGGAGGGAGAGCGGCTGCAACCCAAGGTAGGTGACAGAACCCCCGCCGTCCCTTCTGATGCTGGAACCTCAGAGGCCCGCCCCAGTCATATGGCAACTCAGTGGTGAAACTGGGATGTCACCCCAAATCTGAGCTCTCCACTGGGCTGCATTGCACCCCGATGAGAACCAAAGAGACTTGCAAGCCACAGACCAGGCAACTCTTGAAGCAATGCCAGCATGTAGATTCCCCTGGTCTCCAGCCACTGGACACACACTCCATCCACTGCTGGACAGGATGAGGCTCTTGAAAAAGCTGCCACCTATATGGGTTGGAGTTGTGTTTGAGGTCCATATCTGGCCACATTCCTGAAGATGACAAACGGTGGCTCAGAAGAATCTAAATAAGCCAGAAATAAAGGAGGCTGTAGTCCCTCCACGTCCTGCGTATTTGACACGAATAATCTAACCCTTAGAAAATCGCCTTGTCAGTCCAGGAAACAGAGACAGGGCTGGGGTAAAAAGTGAAGGGGGTTCTTGGGGTGGTGTCTATGAAAGGTGCAAGAGGAGGAAGCAGGAAGAAAGCTCTTCAAGCCAAGAGAACGATCCAACAGTTGTGAAAGCAAAGTGGGAGCAGAACTGGACAAGGGGCCTCAGACCGTGATGCCCTGGCAAGGTCTCAGCCACCCAGCGGGGAGCTCTGAGCAAAGGTTGCCCATTAGAGTCTGCGACATGCTGAAATGACTGGGCTCTGGTGTCCCTGCCGTGATGAATCATTGGCTGGGGGCTTCCGGGGAGAGATATGGTCTTGGCTCAAAAGCTGGGGTGCTGCATCTGGAATCTGTCACTTAACTGCATTTCTTGTAAGAAGAAGGCATGGTCTTTCTTGAAGGGAGATTTGAAAGCTGACCTCTATAATTGCCACAACTCGAAAGTCATTTTCTCCAGGTTGGCAGTACGGGACATCCCAGGAAATCAGTCTGGATGATGACCATAGCTGTCGTTTACTGAACACCTACCACATGACAGATACTTCAAATTCAGTATGGCAAATAATCCTTCAACTACATCCTCCCACTTTAACAGAAGGGGATGAAGGCCCAGAGAGGCCAATGAACTTGCTCAAGGTCATTATTCAGTCCATGCTCCTACACAAACCTGTGTGCCCTTGGGCTAGTCACTGCCCTACTTTGAGCCTCAGATTTTCTCATTTATAAAATGCTAAACTGGCCAGGGGCACAGTGGCTCATGCCTGTAATCCCAGTAGTTTGAGAGGTCTAGGCAGGTAGATGACTTGAGGCCAGGAGTTTGAGACCAGCCTGGTCAATTTGGTGAAACCCCATCTCTACTAAAAATACAAAAATGAGTCAGGCATGGTGGCAGGTGCCTGCAGTCCTTACTACTGAGGAGGCTGAGGCAGGAGAACCACTTGAACCTGAGATGTGGAGGTTGCAGTGAGCTATCATGCCACTGCACTCCAGCCTAGGCAACAGAGCCAGACTCTGTCTCAAAATAAAATAAAATAAAAATGCTAAGCTTAGAAAAGATGACAGCAAAGATCCTCTCCAACGCTGACATTCTAGGAGCCTAAGAAGCTCAGAGGTGTGCTCACTGCCAAGCCTTGCTGTCCCTTCTTCCCTGCTCCCGCTCCCCACTAAGCTCATACTTACATGGGCTTCTGTACACATTTCTTCTCACACAATCCCCAACCTGTGTTCTGACCCTGCCCTACAGATGGTCAAGTCCTTGAAGAAGGCCATGGCCCCAGTCCTGAGTGATGTGACTGTGGAGTGGGTCTTCCCCAAGACCACTGAGGTCCTGGTCTCACCCATCAGCGCCAGCTCCCTCTTCCCTGGAGAACGGCTGGTGGGGTATGGCATTGTATGTGATGCTTCCTTACACATCTCCAATCCCAGATCTGTAAGTATCCTAGAAACTCCAGGGATCCATGGGGGTCCAGAACCCATGCCTGCAAATCATCCTCAGCTGGAAAGACTATCCGTGGCAGCTAGAAAGTCATTGGGACTGGGTTTACAGTTCACCCGGTTGAGGGTTACAGTTGCCAGACCACAGGCATTCACTTACAGTGACACGGCTAAGGTAGATGCTACCATCTCAAAAATGTGGTTCTTAAGAGCCCCTGCAGTACGACCACTTGGAGAACTTGTTTAAAATGCACAGCTGTGGGTGGCCGAGACGGGAAGATCACTTGAGATCAGGAATTTGAGACCAGCCTGGTCAACAGGGTGAAACCCCGTTCTCTACTAAAATTACAACAAAATTAGCCAGGCATGATGGCAGGCACCTAGAATCCCAGCTACTCAGGAGTCTGAGGCACGAGAATCACTTGAATCTGGGAGGCGGAGTTTGCAGTGAGCCAAGATCGTGCCATTGCACTCCAGCCCGGGTGACATAGTGAGACTCTGTCTTTAAAAAAATAAATACATACATACATATCCCTAGCTTCCACCCAGGTCTGTTGAATAAGAATTCTCTAGGATAAAACCCAGGAAACTTCATTTTCCATCCTCTCTCCTAAGTGATATGATACACACTTCAGTTCAAGAACAAATGCACGTCGATTTCCTTCTCCACACACTCTAGTTAGCTCAGATCTCCTTAGATGAGTTTGTCTTTTATTTCTTTAAGTGGATGATTCGCTTGTCCATGGTGGTAGAAGTGGGACAAAAGCCAAGAACTTCTGAAAGGGGGTGAAATTCATGCTAAAATGTGAGAGATTGCCAAAGAAGCTGTTTCCTCACCTAACTTTCCTCTTTCATGAGTCTGTTCACTTTAAAGTATTTCTCATCTTGTTTTTTTAAAAAGGAAGTCACAAACTCAATGCCTAGAGACATAGGGCAGGTGTGGAATGAATGAAATGGACTTGGTATAAAAATAAAAGGGGCCAGTGCTGTGATGGATTGCAGTTACCGCTGAGCTCACAGTTGGAGAGGCAATAAGGAGTGGTGAGGAATATGGCAAACTGGTTAGCACACTGGCAAACTGTCTAAACTGGGCAGCCCCTACACAGCCCTAGCAAAGTGTCATCATGCAGAAATGTGAGCCCTATGTTAAATGTGTGTCTAATTTTTCAGGAGAAATTGGAACTTTATGTGAAAGCTCCAGATTTTTGAATGTTATAACATGTTTTAAGAACTGTGATCAAGGTGATGGTTAATGTGTTATGGAGAGCGGAGTGTTCAGCAGCAGGGAGAAAATGCTAAACAAAATGCTGGCCAAGTCCTTGCACAGTCCAGGCCTTCCTGGGAGGGCTAGAAGGCACCAGTTCATCAACAGACCCTCCCACTAGAAGGGACTGGATGCAGTCATCAAATCCATCTCCTTTTCTTACTCAATACTGGCAAAGTTTGCCCTGCTACTGGTAGGGATATTGAATATAGAGGATGTTCACGTATTGTTGGTGTAAATATAACTCGCCACAGCCCTCCTGGAAAGCACTCTAGAAATAACTAATAAAATTAGAGATAGACCGGGCAAAGCCTGTAATCCCAGCACTTTGGAAGGCTGAGGCAGGGATCGTCTGAGGTCAGGAGTTCGAGACCAGCCTGAAACCCTGCCTCTACCAAAAAAAAAAAAAAAATTTATATATATATATATATATATATATATATATATATATATATATATATATTAGCTGGGTGTGGCATCAGGCACCTGTAATCCCAGCTACTCTGGAGGCTGAGGCATGAGAATCGCTTGAACCTGGGAGGCGGAGTTTACAGTGAGCCGAGATCACACCACTGCACTCCAGCCTGGGGGATAGGACAAGACTCTGCCTCCAAGAAAAAAAGAAAAATTAGAGATACAAACTTTTCAACCCAGAAATCCCACTGGTAGGAGTCTACCCCACAAAAATAAAAGCAGTGTAATGGATTTATGTCCCAGGATTTACTGTAGCATTTTTTTATGTTGACAAAAATAGGCGACCGCAAAATGAATGCTTAACAATAAGGGGCGGTGAAATATGATGTAGTCAGATGCTAAAAAGAACGGTTGGGGCCAGGCATAGTGGCTCACACCTGTAATCCCAGCACTTTGGGAAGCCAAAGTGGGAGGATGGCTTAAGGCCAGGAGTTCAAGACAAGCCTGGGCAACCTACTGAGACCACGTCTCTACAAAACACAAAAATGTAAAAAATTAGCCAGACTTAGTGGCACATGCTTGTAGCCCCAACTGTTCTGGAAGCTGAAGCAGGAGGATTGCCCGAGACCAGGAGGTGGAGGCTGCAGTGAGCTATGACTGTGCCACCGCACTCCAGCCTAGCTGCAGTGTAGAGACCCTATCTTTAAACAAACAAACAAACAAAAGAATAGTTGAAATGCAGAATTTCCAAAATGTTTTCAGTGCAAAATTCAAGATACTGCTACGTGTGAGTAGTATGGCAAAGTTTTTTATAGAACAAAACATGACCCCCAAAAGCTGATGTGTTATTTATACATGGGGGGGTCGGTAACCCTAACTTCTGCATTGTTCACAAGTTAGGGATACCGACCCCCCGATGCGGTCAAAAATTCACATATGACTTTTGACTCATTAAAAACTTAGCTACTAATAGCCTACCGTTGACTGGATGCTTTATCGATAACATAAACAGTCAATTAACACATATTTTATGGGTTGTATGTATTGTATGCTGTATTCTTACAATAAAGTATGCTAGAGAAAATAAAATGTTTTTGAGAGAATCATAAGGAAGAGGAAATACATTTACTATTCATTAAGTGGAAGTGCGTCATCAAGGTCTTCATTGTCATTGTCTTCACACTGAGCAGTGGAAGGGGAAGGGCTGGTCTTGCTGTCTCAGAGGGGACAGAGGGAAGAAGTGGAGGAGGTGGAAGGGGAGCAAGAGAAGCTGACACTCAGTGTAACTTTCATTGAAAAAAATCCACCTATAAATGGACCCACGCAGTTAAAACTTAGGTTGACCAAGAGTCAACTATATGTTTATATCAGGGACAACAGAATGAGAGGGACAGATGGTTTGTGACTTTTTGTTACCTATTTGGAAACAGGAGTGGCATTTAGAATTACATTTAAAAATTATTTTAATGAAGTCAATAATTAAAAACATAACCTAAATGTTACGAAAAGATAATTCCGTTTGCCATCTCTTGAACAGACGTGTATCTCAATACCCTACACAAAAAGCTTTCCCATTGCGCTGGTTCTTCAGAGGTGAAGACCCCACCACCTGTGCTCACACCCCTTGCTCCCTGTGGAAGCCCTTCCTGACCTCTAGCCTCACTCCTGTCCCTCTTTCCCCTCCCTCCCTCCAGGACAAGAGGCAGCGGTACAGCATGCTACACTCTCAGGAATTTGGCAGCTCCGTCTTCTATCACTCTCAGGATGAGGGACCCGGACCGGAAGGTGGAGACTGTGCCAAGAACTTGGGGACACCCTTCAGCCTGGGGCAGGCCAAGGATGCCCGGCTGGTCAGCAGAGACTCCATGGCCAAGCACGGTTGGTCTACTGCCCTAATGATTGCTACCTTACGTTGAGCACTTACTATGTGCTAAGCGTCTGGCCCACTTTGTACCTTTTATTTTATTTATTTTATTTTATTTTATTTTATTATTTTTGAGACAAAGTCTCAGCCTGTCACCCAGGCTGGAGTGCAGTGGCATGACCTTGGTTCACTGCAACCTCTGCCTTTTGGGTTCAAGCAATTCTCCTGCCTCAGCCTCCCTAACAGCCGGGACTACAGGTGCACACCACCACGCCTGGCTAATTTTTGTATTTTTTGTAAAGACAAGGTTTCACCATGTTGCCCAGGCTGGTCTGGAACTCCTGGCCTCAAATGATCCACCCACCTCGGCTTCCCACAGAGCTGGGATTATAGAGATGTGAGCCAACACACCCAGCCACTTTGTACCTTTTAAAAGAAGCAGCAGGGAGAGTAGCTGGGAAGCTAGGCTAGGGCCAGATCTGGCAAGGCTTTGGATGCCAGGGGAGGCACCGGCACGTTTCAGTAGGCCAGTGATGGAGAACATGAGATGCTTCCAAACAGGAAAGGGGGATGCAAGCCCCTCTCTTTCCCTGCTGCCCCACTCTGATAGTTCCCCATCACTATCCCTGTCCAGATCTGAACCTCTCCCAGCGACGGAGGGCATACAGCACCAACCAGATCGCCAATCCCAAGCCCCACCCAAGGGCCACTACGGCGAGTGACCCCATGCCAGCTGCCAGGAGATACCCACTTCGGAAAGCCAGGCTGCAGGACCTCACCAATCAGACCAGCCTGGATGTCCAGCGGTGGCAGACTGATTTGCAGGTACCCAAGCAGGACAGTTTAGGGAGGAGCTGGGGAAGGTGACAGACAGGGGAGAGCTGTGTCCCCTGCTTCAACCACGGGACAGAGCCATCCACAACTTACACTGCTAAGTGAGTCACTCCCTTTCTCCTTTCTTGGCCCTTCATCTGCCTTACCTCTGAGTACATCTTCCAAATCAGGACACCCACCGGTCAATAAGCTCACTCATTCCCTGTACACACACCGCCCAGTTGGCAAGGAACATTTCCATGTGCTCTTCCATTTGACTTTATAGCACCCCTGGGGAAGGAGAGAGTTTAGGAGCCCACCTTGGCTCAGTAAAGATGTGGAAATTGAGGGCCAGAGAGGTAGGGCACTTATCCAGGGTCACACAGCCATTCAGAGGATTGCAACCTGCCTAACCTTTGAAAGACCCCCTGCCTTCATAGCCTTTTATTCCGCCTCTGTTAAACTACACCTCCTACAAATCCCAGGGCCAGAGAGGTTTTTTCGTTTGTTTGTTTGTTGAGACAGAGCCTTGCTCTGTTGCCCAGGCTGGAGTGCAGTGGTGCCATCTCTGCTTACTGCAACCTCCACCTCCCGGGTTCAAGCAATTCTCATGCCTCAGTCTCCCAAGTAGCTGGGATTACGGGCATGCACCACCATATCTGGCTAATTTTTGTTTTGGTTTTTTTTTGTGTGTGTGTGTTTTGTTTTGTTTCATTTTGTTTTGTTTTGTTTTTGAGATGGAGTTTCACTCTTGTTGCCCAGGCTGGAGTGCAATGGCACAATCTCAGCTCACTGCAACTTCCGCCTCCTGGGTTCAAGCGATTGTCCTGCCTCAGTCTCCTGAGTAGCTGAGACTACAGGCACATGCCACCATATCCAGCTAATTTTTCTATTTTTGGTAGAGACAAGGTTTCACCATGTTGGCCAGGCTGGTCTCTAACTCCTGGCCTCAGGTGATCCATCCACCTCAGCCTCCCAAAGTGCTGGGATTACAGGCATGAGCCACGATGCCCGGCCTAATTTTTGTATTTTTAGTAAAGATAGGGTTTTGCCATATTGCCCAGGCTGATCTTGAACTCCCAGGTTCAAGTGATCTGCCTGCCCTAGCCTCCCAAAGTGCTGGGATTACAGAGGTGAGCCACCATGCCTGGCAGCAGAGAGAATTTGAGAGTTAGAAAGCCACAGCGGGAGTGGTCACCCACTGTCCTGCCAGGCCAGGTTTTCTCAGCTTCAGCACCATGGACATGATAATTTTATATTACAGGGGCAATTCTGTTCACTGTGGAACATTTGGCGGCATCCCTGGCGTCTTCCCACTAGAGGCTAGGAACAACACCATCCCCAATCATGATAACCGAAAATGTTTGCAGACATTGCCAAATGTCCACTGGGGAGCACAATCACTGGATGAGCACCATTGTCCTAAACCAAATTGTGGTTTAATCCATTTTATGAAGAATGGGCTTGGCCGGGCACAGTGCCTCATGCCTGTCATCTCAGCACTTTAGGAGGCCAAGGCAGGCAGACTGCTTGAGCCCAGGAGTTCCAGACCAGTCTGGGCAACATGGCAAAATTCTGTCTCTACAAAAAATACAAAAATTAGCCGGGCGTGGTGACACATGCCTGTAATCCCAGCTACTCTGGAGGCTGAGGCAGGAAGATCACTTGAGCCAGGAGGCAGAGGTTGCAGTGAGCTGAGATGGCACCACTGCACTCCAGCCTGGGTAACAGAAAGAGACTCTGTCCCAAACAAAACGAACAAACAAAAGAATGGGCTTTATGTAGTTATGTCATTGTAAGGCTGTGGTTCCATAAAAGCAGCCTTTCACTCTCCCTGAATGCCCCCTCCCACTTCTAACCACCACCCCCATCCCTCCCTGCCTCCACTTACACATAAGCCCATTCTCTAAGGGTAGGGACACTGCCATCTTATCCCTGGGAGCCCTTCTCTGTCTTAGTGAGGGACCACTTGATGCAATCAGATGGCAACTGGCTCTGTCATCTGGCTGCCTCTGTTCCTCAAACATATCACTCAACTCTCCGAGCCCCAGCTGCCTCATCTACCAGATGGGGAGAATAGCTCAGGCACATGATTGAGCTGCCATCCATCACAAGATATGTATTGAGAGCCAACTCTAAGTGGAGGACTCTTCCAGGCATTGGCTGATAAAAGATGCAGTGCCTGGCCCAGCACCTGGCACACAGCAGCCATCCTTTGCTGGCAGCGCTACTTGGTGAGAGCTCTGGACAGGCTGGTTCCCCTTTACTTCTTTCCTGCATGCTCCTTAGCTATTGAGACCCATCTCTGCTTATCTCTCACCTGCCTCCTGCCTGGCTTCTTCCCCAACCTGATTCTCCTATGCATGCACACATGCATGCACACACACACACACACTCACACACACACACACACACACTCGCTCCATGCACCCTCTAGCTGGGTGAAAGCCTGGATCTTAGACTCATCTGTTGCTATGGAAACCTTACCAGCTTCAGTTGCTCCCTGTGACCTGGTGTGGTGTTGACGGTGAAGCAAGGCTAGGGGAATCCCGGTGTTTGATTGGGCAAGGAGCGGAAGGTAGGGATGCCTTGGGGCTCAGCAGCCCTGGCTGGGGTCATCCTAGGACCGACCAGTCCCCTCCTTCTCCCAACATCCTTGTCCATTCCTGGGACCTCTGGCTCGGAAAGACAGAAAGACAGCCCCTATTTATTAGGAGGGGGAGGCACAGTCCCCCTCCTAATAAATACTTGATAGGGATGGAAAAGCTCCCATGGTTAACCGTTCATTGGCCAAAAAAATTCTGTTACACCTGAAAGTGACTTTACATCCTCAGCCCCTCCCCCTACCAGGGGATGTATATGGTCCAGAGACTTGAAATTCATTTTTAATTAACTTAATATTCTTCAATTACAAAAGTGGTATATACTCAGTGTTTGCAATAAAAACCCTCAAACAATTCAGTCAGGTATAAAGCACAAATAAAAGCCTCCCTTCCCGATTCCCAGACCCACTTGGTTTTGAGTGTTTCCTTCTAGAAATACTAATATGATACATACATAAACAGTACATGTGTGTATTTTTAATAATCACATATGCAAACTGCTCTCCAACTTACTTTTCTAAGGTCTTTTAAATTCACTTTTTAAAAACAAATAACAGTGTACTGTATTTATTTAAAAAGTGAATTTAATTACCCTTTTTGGTGAACAGTTCTGAGATTTGACAAACGTATATGGTCATGTAATCATCGCCACAATGAAGATACAGAACAATCACAATTTGCTATTTTAAAATAAGCTTTATCTTGGACATCTTTTCACTTTGGCATGAAGAAAGCTACTTCTTTATTTTCAATGCTGTGGGACCTTCCGTTGCATGGGATATACCAGAACTTATTTGTCAACTTCAACTGATGCCAAGCCCAACTGATTTCGATAGTTTCCAGATTTTTACTTTTACAGACAATACTGCAACAAATATACAGTACTTGCATATCAATTGTTGCGCTCTTGTGTATTTTCACAAGATCGAATTCCTGAAAGTGGAATTGCCAGATCAAAAGGGCTTGTGTATTTCAATTGAGAGCACATTGCTAAGTTGTTCTCCTACAACTGTGTACCCACTTACGCTGGCACTGACAGTCCATGAAAGACTCTGTCTTTCCATTGACCACAGGTGTGCCATCAAACATTTAAATATTTGCCAATCTGCAAGATGGAAAAAAGTCATAAACTTGTTTTAATTTACATTGCTTAAAGTTTTCATGAGACTGAGCATTTTTTTCATGGGTTTATTGGATACTTTGCTATAAACTGCCTGCAAATACCCTTAACACATTATTCTATTAAGTTTGTCTTTTCAGCCAGGCATGGTGGCTCATGCCTGTAATCCCAGCACTTTGTGAGTCTGAGGTGGGCAGATTATGAGGTCAACAGATTGAGGTCATCCTGGCCAACATGGTGAAACCCCATCTCTACTAAAAATACAAAAATTAGCTGGGCACGGTGGTGTGTGTCTGTAGTCCCAGCTACTCAGGAGGCTCAGGCAGGAGAATCACTTGAACCTGGGAAGCGGAGGTTGCAGTGAGCCGAGATTGTGCCACTGTACTGCAGCGTGGCTACAGAGTGAGTCTCCAGCTCAAAAAAAAAAAAAAAAAAAAAAAAAAAAAAGTTTGTCTTTTCCCCCAGTGATTTATAAAAGCTTCTTGAAAATGATCTTTGTTATGTCTATGACAAATGTATTTCTCCATTTATCCCTTGCCTTTTCATGTCTGTTTGTACCAGCACAAGAATAGATAGATTAAATCAACAAAACAGAACAGAAAGTCCATAAATAAAACCAACTGTGCATGAAAGCTTTGTTGGGATAGAGGTAGGAAACTGACTGAACTGCAGGGATTCAAATGGAAAAACCACATTCAATAAATGGTGAGATTGGTACCATTTGGAAAATCAAGAAAAAGCGGATTCCTTTCTCCCTGGTCCAAAACAAATTTCATGTAAATCAAAGATTTAAACACACAAACAAACAAAATGAAATCTCAAAAATTCTAGAATATTTTTTGAGTGAGAAAGACCTTTTAAGTATGGCATATGGGAAGACATAAGGAAAAAAGGTTGATAATTTTAACTGTACACACAAAAAAAGTTTAAACTTTATGGCAAGAAAAAAAAAGTGGGTTTAGAATTATCCATGGTGTGTGATTTTCCATGGTTTGGAGTTTATCCACAGCTTAGGATTATTACTGTTGATGTTTCTCATGGGTAATGTCGGACACTAGGTCATGTGTCCCTGAGTACTGGAGGGGCAGTGCCTAGGAGGAGCTGCCATGCCCAGGAGGAGCTGCCGTGCCCCAGGAAAGAGCTGGTGGGGGTGAGAGGCAGAAGGAAGGAGTGTCCAGGCACCAGGAGCTCTGCTTCCTTCTCCTCCTCCTCCTCCTCTTCCTCCTCCTCCTCCTCTTCTTTCTCCTCTTCCATCCCTAGCCCTTACTGAACAGTGGTCAGGACCTGAACCAGGGCCTCAAACTCCGTGGCCCAGGGGCCCGAAGACCCTCTCTGCTGCCCCAAGGCTGCCAGCCTTTCCTGCCCTGGGGCCAGGAGACCCAGGCCTGGAGCCCAGTGAGGGAGCGGGATCCTGGGTCCAGCGTGAAGTCTCCCTCTAACAGCCGAAGCCCGGGAGATCTAGGTAAGTTATCACAGGGTTCAGGACCTGACTGGGGACAGGGAAGAATCCTTGGCTGTGGCTCAACTTCAGATGGCAGGTCCACAGAGCAGATTCCTGGGTCTGTCCCCTTGGGGTCTGCTGCAGCTCACCCCTTTCTGAAGACCTCACCAATCACCCTGGTTCTTGGGTGGCTGTGAGGCTGCAGCTCCGTTCTCTGTGCCCCTGTCCCACCCCATCCTGTCTGGCCCCCTCAGCCATTGGCCTCCTGGAAGGTGGATCTGTCCTCCCTGGGGACAAACCCATGTCCCCGCCCCCCCCAGCTGTCCTCGGAAAGGAGTTGGAGTTGCCTGTTCCCTGGGGAGATGGAGGGGGTTGTACTTGCTTAGGGGTATCTGCTCCCTAGGGAGGGATGATGTTCCCTGGGAGTTGGCCGTCTGTCTCCCAGGTCAGCGCTTGGCCCTCTTGTCCCTCTGCCCGCAGAGCCGTCCCATCACCCCTCTGTGTCCCATCACCCCTCTGTCTTCGAAAGAGAGATGTCCTCGGACTGGGAGCCCCCAGCCGAGTCCCAGGAGCGAGCCAGTCCCAGCAGGCCCGCCACCCCGGGCCCGGTACTGGGCAAGGCTGTGGTCAAAGGCCTGCGCGACAGCCAACTCCTGCAGTGGGAGGTGAGCTTCGAGCTGCGGCCCCCCGGCCCGGAGCAGAGCGGCGCGCGCGATGCCGACCTATGGAGCGAGACCTTCCACCACCTGGCGGCCCGCGCCATCATCCGCGACTTCGAGCAGCTGGCGGAACGCGAGGGCGAGATAGAGCTTGGTGAGCGCCGCGGGACGCCTCCATAAGACCTGCCCCCCCACAGCCGCGCCCCCTTCCTCACCCGCCCCTCGTGATCCTTCCAGCCCCCCCGTAGTCCGCCCACCTCCTTCCTGGGTCTTGCCCCACCCTCTCCTCGCAGCCCCGCCCAGTGCTCCGCCCACTCTCCCTATGACCCTCCCACCTCCTTCCCCGCCTCGGGCCCCTTTCTTGCCCCATACCCTCATCACAGCCGTGCCCAGTGCCCTGCCCATCCCCTGTGGCCCGCCCACCCCTTACCCCCCGCCATGGCCCGTCCCCACCTCCATGGTCGTCCCACCTCCTTCCCTGTCCCGGCCCCCACCCTGTGCCCGCCCACTTCCCCCAGGACCCGCCCCTCCGCACAGCCCCGCCCACTGGCCCGCCCACTCTCCTCTCCGGCCTCCGGGCTCTGCCCCCTCCCCATTATCCTCAGTGCCTGGACTCATTCCCTACCCCCGCCCCAGGATCAGCCCTTACTCTCTGGCTGTAGCCCCCGTCACCTCCCCACAGCCCACTGTTCCCCCACTCCACCTCACACCGCAGCCTGCAGGTGCCTTCCCTCACTCACAATCGCCCTTCCCCTCACACCCGCCTACCCACCCACACACTCACAGCCCAAGGCTCCATTCCATTCCCTCCAAGATCCACCCTCTTCCCCCTGCCTCCGAGTAAGTGGCCCTCTCCCCATCCCTGGGCTCTTCCACCCCCATGCAGTGATCCCTCCTCTTCTCTCCCACCTCATTCTTCTCTCCTATGGGCCCCGCATTTCCTAGTGCTTCTCTTCCGAAGCAGCCCCTGTAGGGCTCCAGACACAGAACAATGGCCACAGCCCACACCTTTCCCCAACCCCCCCAGTCCAGGGGCTCCACGCACTCATTCATCGTGCCTTTATTTACTGTGGATCTGCTGGGGGCCCGGTTCCCACTGGGCCCGGTAAACGCAGCTGAACAGCCCAGTGAAAAAGCAATCTCTTTCTCTTTCCTACCCATGAGTGCTTGACAAACTAGCAGGGAAGCCGGCATTAATCAAATCATTACACAAATAATTAATTGAGTGCATTTGTCCTAAGTGCTATTAAGAAAAAAGACACGGATCCAAGAGATTGTATAACAGGGATGTAGGGGAGCTAATTTAGTCCAGGAATTGGGGCGGACTTTGCTGAGAAAGTGACTGGTGGGATCTTGATGGAATACACTTGGAGAATAGAAATATAAATAGAGAACGGTTATATCATTTCTTTGTTGTGGGTTTCCGCTTTATTTCTATAATAACATTATTTTGTTTATATTTTACTTGCATTTTTGTATTGTATGTGTTACTTTCTTCCACCTTACAGTTTACAAAGCACTTGTCTACCCTTCATCTCCTTGGCTCCTCACTCAGGCTTCTGGAGGCAGCAAGCCACGGAGACTGCTCACCTGTTCAAAGGGAAGGGATTGGGCTTTGGGGTCAGACCACCCTGAGTCCAGATCTCAGATCCATTCCTAACTTGCTATGTGACCCTAAGCTCACCAGTCTCCTCTGATTTGCAATGTCCTCAGCAGTTAAATGGGTCAGATCAGTAGTCCCCACTCCCCAGCCAGCGGAGCTATGAAGTTTTACGGCAACATTCCCGTTAGACATCTGCAAAATTAAAGTACAAAATACAGGCAACATACCAGGTTGAGTGTTTTTAAAAATAAAACTATGGTTATTTAAAGGAAGTATCTGTCTTTTATTCTGAGACAATGTCTTACATTTTTACATTAAAATATCCTTTATTTTGTGAAATGACGTGAAATGATGGGATTTTTTTTAATATCTCTAGTTAGCAAGTTGGCAAACCCTTGATTGTAAAGGCTTATTTAACCCCAAAGATGGGGACCACTGTTTGAGCCCCCCTTTTAGCTTCCAATGCTTCCATGTCAGGGAAGACTTTCTGAGTCCAAACAGTGACCTCAGTTTCTCCCTCCACAGGGTCCAACCGCCGTTACCAGGTGAACGCTGTGCACACCAGCAAAGCCTGCAACATCATCAGCAAATACACAGCCTTCGTGCCTGTGGATGTGAGCAAGAGCCAGTACCTGCCCACCGTGGTGGAGTACCCCAGCTCTGGTAAGGCAGGTGAGTGGCAGGGCACTCCTGGAAGCCAAGCAGCCCCTGTGGACTGGGGGACGGGGCTGAGATTCAAAGGCCCACAGACCAACAGGGAGGGGTGTGAGACAGAGCCTAGAAGCAGAAAGTCCCCCAGTGGATGATTTGGCTGCTGGGGAGTGGGAGCCCCGGGGCCTCATCCCACTGCTCTGCAGAAGCTGTAAAATCACCCCACTCCCTTTTCTCCACCACATGAAAATGATTTTTATTGCATTTCTTCAGTTGGGACAATATGTGCTCATTATAGAAAAGTCCAAACTATCAAAAGATATAAAATTTTAAAAATAACTAAGACGGACAGTCATCCAGGAGTCTATGTTAGTTACTTGCTTGGTGTGACCATCCTTCCAGACTTCTCTCTATGGATATCAACATGTGGAGAAATCAAAAGACAGATCATTTTACATGAATTGGATTATTCTAATATGTGCTATATTTTACAAAACATGAGTGTAGAAAGTGTCACTCCATGAACTGAATCTATATTATTTTAATAGCTGCAGTATATTCCCCTACAGGGAGCTGCCATTCTCAGAATAGACAATTAGTGTTCCAAAGCACTTTGTATATATTTTCAATTCTTTAATCCTCAAAACAGCTCTACAAACTAGACACTTATCATCCCCATTTTAGAGATGGAAAACAGAGGCAGAAGGGACTAAGTCACTTTCCTAAGCTCTCACAGCCGCGATGGGCTGGAGCCAGGCTTTACATTCATTACCCTGGCTCTGGATTATGCATTCTCTCCCACTCCTTTCTACTGCCTCTGAAAATTTATTGCAACTTTTAAAAATCTATTTAGACGTTTAGGTTATTCCCCATTTGGTTACTGTAAATGATACTGTAAAGAACATCTTTGTGCATCTGTCTGGTTATCTCCTGGGGGTTAATTAATTCTTAGAAGTGGGACTGCAATGTCAAGAGGATGCCCATTTAAAATCTCCATGTGTAGGCCGGGCGCGGTGGCTCAAGCTTGTAATCCCAGCACTTTGGGAGGCCGAGGCGGGTGGATCACGAGGTCGAGAGATCGAGACCATCCTGGTCAACATGGTGAAACCCCGTCTCTACTAAAAATACAAAAAATTAGCTGGGCATGGTGGCACGTGCCTGTAATCCCAGCTACTCAGGAGGCTGAGGCAGGAGAATTGCCTGAACCCAGGAGACGGAGGTTGCGGTGAGCCGAGATTGCGCCATTGCACTCCAGCCTGGGTAACAAGAGCGAAACTCCGTCTCAAAAAAAAAAAAAAAAAAAAGAAAAAAATCTCCATGTGTGTTACCAAACTGCCCCCTCACCACCCCAAACATTATTCCAATGTCCATCCTCTCCAACACTGAATATTGTTTATCTTTCTAAACACTGCCAGTCTAATAGGTGAAAAGAGAAGCTCTCTTTTGTCATTTTTTTAATTGAGATACTTTTTGTGTTTATGAACCATTTGTGCTTTTTTTGTCTTAAATTACATTTCCCTGTCCTTTGTGGTCACCCATCTCCTGCCCTCTTTTCTTTTTTTTTTTTTTAAGCAGCCCTCCAGAAAGCATTGTGTTTGGAAATAAAATACGTCCTCCCTAATTACACCTGTTCCCCTTTTCTTATCTGTGGCATCAGAATGATCAACTCTCCATCCCACCGTCCTCAACTGCTGTCATTTCAAGCAATGGAGTGGCCATTTAATCAGGCTGTTGCCTTATTCATGTTGCAAGGACGACCATTCCTCCCATCCTTCTCAGACCAGCCTGTTAGCATCTGTAGCCACAGCCTGGGAAGTCAAGGACCAGTCCCACATCTTAACCAAAGTCCCGGAGCCCCCTAAGAGCTGGATCAGCACTTCCCCAACTGTGTTCCAAGAAACTAGAACTCTAGTTTCATATCCTATGAATAGCCATCCAGAAGAAAAATAGAGAATACCAGATTAGGAAATACAGTTAAGACCCACTGGATTAGATAAAGCTCAAAAGCTTTCTTCACTGCAGAACTTCTCAGAGCCTTTAGTATGTTGATATACATCAAAAGGCTCAGAGAATGGGCGACAGTATGCAGCTTCTCCAAAACTTATTTCCCAAAACAACTCTAATTTTTAAGGGAAAACTTACAGACTAACGTTCTCTGAGAGTGGGGAGGTTCCCTAAAACATACTTTAGGATGCTGAAACTTCTTCTTTTTTTGAGAGAGTTTTGCTCTGTTGCCCAGCTTAGAGTGCAGTGGCACAATCACAGCTCACTGCAATCTTGAACTCTTGGGCTCAAGTGATCCTCCCACCTCAGCCTCCCAAGTAGCTGGGACTACAGGCACGCACTACCACACCCAGCTAATTAAAAAAATTTTTTTGTAGAGATAGAGTCTCGATATGTTACCCAGTCTGATCTTGAACTCCTGGGCTCAAGTGATCCTCCCATCTCAGCCTCCTGAAGTGCTGGCATTACAGACGTGAGCCACCCTGCCCAGCCCAGGGTGCTGTCATGTCACCTCTTTTCCATCCACCCCTCTTGGTGATGCCCTGGGATTTAAGGGGCCTGCCCTGTAGGAGGGGTAAGATCTTTGTGCATCTGTCCGGTTATCTCCTCAGGGTTAGTTAGTTCTTAAAAGTAGGATTGCAATGACTTGGGACATGAGTCTCTGAGACAGTAAATAAAGAGAAGAACAGAGTGTTCCTGAGAAAACTGGGTTTTTAACTTCCTGGAAAATATTGTGGCTTCTTGAACATTCTCTCGTAGTATCAACCCGGCAAGGTAGATACCATTATCCCCATTTTCCAGATAAGCAGACTGTGGCTCAGTGGGGTCTGCACCCATTCAGCTGGAAAGAGATGGGGCTGGGCCTCACACTGGGTCTTTCTAACTCTAAAGTTCATAGTCTTACCTTGTGCAATGCGTTCCTGGCTTTGGATAATTGAAATATTGAAGACAGAATCATTCCTGCCAGCCTTGGGGGAGAGGCCAAGGACTGGCACATTTGTGCCCAACCACCCACTTCCCTTTGTCTTTCGTGAAGGAGGTCGGTGGATGGTGAGCTCTCGGACCCTGATCCAACAGTGGAGGGGCACGCCTTCTGGCTTCAGACAGTCGCAGACCATGCTTGGAAAAGACTCAGCCGCAGGAGATGGCAAATTTCAGACCCTAAGTAAGAGCCACCTCAGGCACTTTGGGTAGCCTGGGCCCCTGAGGTTACCGCATCCTCACGTCCAAGGCCCCAGGGCCTCTCTCTGAGTCTGCACTGCGGGCTTAGGCAGGCCCTGGGCTGAGCCAGGCCTCCCAGGCTCTCTGAGGCCTAAAAGGCACAGAGGGACTCAGTACGACCCCAGCATACTGCCACTGACACAGCTCTCTCTTTGCCAGGGAGCGGCACCGCCTCCCCTCCCCTTCCAAGGTCTGCTGACCCTGCCTCCAGCCTCTGAGTCCTCCGAGGCACCAACTGCCAGGAAACTTAATAAACAAGGGAAAAAGCGAAGAACGAAGAGGCAGTCCCATCTGTTTGGGTCCCACCATCTGTTTCTTTCAGGGTTCCCAGCAGCCTCCTTTGAGCTGTCACCTGGTTTCATTGTGCCTGCAGCTTGCTCCTTGAAGAGCCAGGATTTGACCTTTCTGGACCTTGCACTAGTTCCCAGGAGGGCTTTAAGCCTCTGTGTCCTGCACGGATGTGTGTCTTTCTGTCTCTCTAGACAGCCTAACTGCGGCACTCGCCCTGACCCCTTTCTAGGGACCCTCACGTGCACAGTGAGGATCTCCTGCCTTTTGCTGTGCGGGTGAAAGACATCAGAGGTCCCACCTGGCCACGAGCCCAGCTCCCCCAGACCGTCAGAAGCTTTTATTCCAGGTCCTAGAAAGTGCTCATGGACATGGATGGGTTTTAAAACAAAAACAAAAACAGAACACGGTGTGAGGAACTCTTCCGAATCAAAGCGTTCTGCCAACTTCTTGGTCTCTTTGGCTTCCAAATCCCAGGAGAACCAGCTCCACCCTAGAGCCAAGCTGAGCTTCCAGTCTTCAGAAAATTACCGATTATACCTTCCTTTCTCCAAAGCTTAGCTTTCGGTGGTCCAGGGCTTCCATCAAAATCATAAATCCTTTCTTTTCTCCCTTCCTTCCTTCCTTCCTTCCTTCCCTCCCTCCCCTCCCTCCCTCCCTTCCCTTCCTTCCTACACTTCCTTCCTTCCCTCCCTTGTTTCCTTCCTTCCTTCCTTCTTCCTTTAGATGGAGTCTTGCTCTGTCGCCCAGGCTGGTGTGCGGTGGCACAACCTTGGCTCACTGCAACCTCTACCTCCCGCATTCAAGTCATTCACCTGCCTTAGCCTCTCAAGTAGCTGGGACCACAGGCACCCGCCACCACACCCAGCTCATTTTGTATTTTTGGTAGAGACGGGCTTTAACCATATTAGCCTGGCTGATCATGAACTCCTGACCTCAAGTCATTCACCACCTCGACCTCCCAAAGTGCTGGGATCAGAGGCTTGAGTCACTGCCCTGGCCACAAATCACTTCCTTGAAATTGTTCTCTGATTCATGCCCACATTCCTGACTTTTTTTTTTTTTTTTTTTTTTTTTTTTTGAGACAGGGTCCATAGTCCAGGACTCTGCTGAGCACTTAGCAATGGACTCAGCACTATCTGCGTATTATCTCATTTAATCTTTACAGCACTCTGAGATAGATGACATTATCCCCAATTTGCAATCAAAATTTATAAAGTAATTTTGCCAAATCCCCAAGGCTGATCAGTGGTGGTGGTGGTGGTGGCTGGGGTCAGAATTTGAACACAGGCCTGTCTGATCTTATGGTGGAGCAACGGTTATGTCTGTGGAAGATGAAGGCTCATCTGAGCGGGGGTGGAAACCCTAGCCTTGTTCCCCAACCCACCCACAGGCACCATGAATTAGACCATCACTCTCCTGGGGGGACGGGAGGAGAGAGGTCTGGCCTCACTGGCTTCTCTGTCCTAGACACGGAGGCAGGTCCCACCGCTCCTGTCAGCGAGGCCACATTCCCCGGCCACGAGAAGCATGCCGCTTCTGAAGGTGAGTGGGCAGGCGGCGCTGCCTCTCCATCAAGATGGTGACAGGGATTGGTCCTGGGGTCAGGAGAGTGTCTTAGCATCCACAGAGTCCTCAGGGCTTCACAGAGTCCTCAAAACAGCCCTCTGCATGAGGAATAGGATTATCCCCAATTGAAAGATGAAGAACAGGTGCAAAGAGGTAAGGTGACTTGCCCAAGGTCACAGAGCACATCGGTGACAGAGCTGGGCCTGGATCAGGCCTCCCAGTTCCCTGCTAAGGGACCGTTTTGCCACTCCACTCTGCCTAGAGTCCTCTAGCAACATGCCAAGGAGGTCAACTCTGTGTCCTCATTTGGGAAGGAGTGGGGCTGAGTGAAGCTGTCACTGTCCCCACAAGTAACTTTCCAGAAGATCCCAGGGGCTGCCGGCCGAGGAAGCTTGGAGGCCAGCTTTTTACACACAGACATAGTCTCACCCCGCCCCACGCCACCTGTAGCAGAAGGAGCTCCACAACATAATGGTTAGCTCAGGTCCCTGGAAGCTTAGCCAAGCCTCTGCCCCTCTCTGGGCCTCTGTTTCCCCAGTTGGTCAGTGAGCAGTTGGACAGGGTCATCTTCAGGTCTCAACTCTGTCATTCTGGCTCTCCAGGTTCCCTGCACAGCCTGGCCTCAAATACTCTTTCTTCCATGAAGGCCCCAGAGAATCTCTTTGGATCCAGGTAGGTGGGATTTCCAACAAAGATACACTCTCTGGCCACCCATTTTCCCGGGGTGGTCTCCGGGGTTTTCCCTGACTTGGAAGGCCAAAGGCAGGTTCAGCCTGACATTTAGGCAGGTGTGAAAAAGGCATTCCTGCCCAGAGAGATGACTGTCTCCCAGGTCTCCCCCTACCACAAATCCCCCACTTTGAGAGGATTTGTACCCATGGGAGGGCTGGCATAAAGCTCTTCTGACCACTGGACTGGATAAGAATGTGATAGTAAAAGAGGGTCATGATCCAGGTGCAGTAGCTCACACTGGTAATCCCAGAACTTTAGGAGGCTGAGGTGGGAGGACCACTGGAAGTTCGAGACCAGCCTGGGCAGCGCAGTGAGACCCTGTCTCTACAAAAAATTTTAAAATTAGCCAGACGTGGGTGTGTGTCTGTAGTCCAGGGGGCTGAGGTGGGAGGATCGCTTGAGCCCAGGAGGTTTGACACTGCAGTAAGCTACAATTGTGTCACTCCAGCCTAGGGGACAGAGTGAGACCGTGTCTTGGAAACAAAAAAAAAGAGGGTCAACAGAAGAACGCTAACCTCTTCCGAGGCCCGGCTGCCGCTAACTCATTGACTGGCTTGGGGCAGTTGCTTCTCCCCACCTTTCCAGGCTCTGCCTCCTTAGCTGTCAGATAAGGACGCTGGACAGAGACATCTGCTGCATCCCTTCTGACCCTGACTTTCAGGGGCTTCTGGGTGGGCTCTGGAGGTCGGGATGCCCAGGGCCACTTGACTTCATCTGCACAGGCTAAATCTCAACAAGTCCAGGCTACTGACACGAGCAGCCAAGGGGTTCCTGAGCAAAACACCGATCAAAGCCATGGAGTCGACCTCTGGGAGCCAGAGCTTCGACTATGTCCCGCTGGTGAGTGCCCTGACCCAGTGTCCGTGTCCCTCCGCTCCACTCAGCAGCAAGGCCCTTCCTATGATCCCCTGCCTTCCTCTCCATCTCCTTAAAGAGAAGAAGGCCTTGGTCTTAGAACTCAGATCCCCTGAGTTCTGAAGCTTCCGAGAGCTTCCCACCCAAGTACTTAGCAGGGCGGAGGGAGTTTGCATGAATCTCCCCAGCCCAGAGGCCTAGGGATATTGCTAGAAGCCAGCACCAGCATCACGAAAATTCTTTGCAGTCTGCTATCTTTACCTTAAAACTTCATGGGAAGTTTGCATTCTCCTCCCTGCATCTATGTGTATCTGTTTTTCGGTACATAAAAATAAGTTTTGAAATGACTCATAAGGGAGTAAAATTAACATCCCAGGGAATTGGACCATGTTTAGCAACTGGGTCTGCAGACACCCCAGCATGCTGTGGCAGGGTGAGAGGCTCAGGTCTGGAGTGGGCTTCTCTGAATTAAGGAGCAAGGGAGACTGCCCCTGCTCCATCTGGGGCCCCTCGGGGCTTGGGAAACAGAGGATGCTTGAAGGAGGGGCACGGTTTGAGCATCACTGCATATCTCTTCTGTCCCTGCAGACCCAAGTGCAGAATATTCGGAATTCCCAAATATCTAGGGCAACTGAGCACTATGCATGTTTTCACTCAACAGGTATTTATTGAGTCAGGCCCAGTACTAAACCCTGGAGAGACAACCTTGAACTAGACAAGCATAGTTTCTGCACTCATGGTGCTCAGTGTCTAATAGGATCCAGGCAAGGAACCAGGCAATTCTAACTCTTGGGACTGGTGATGGGAGAGGTCTGGTTTGGTTGGGGAGTACAGGGGGTGGACATCTAGCCCAGGCTTGAGATGGGAGGAGCAGAACCAAGCATGACTTCTTGGAGAAGGTCAAGGCTAAGCCAAGACTTGCAGGATGAGGAGTTATGGCCAAAGGCCTCCAGAGGAGAGAGAGAGCGTTGCAGCTGGGGAATGGAGTTTGAGAGGGTAAGGGTCAAGGACAAACCAGGGTTGGGTGGTGCAGAGCTTCGCTAATCATATTTTGGACTTAGTCTAAGAGATGCTGAATTCATCGAACTGAGCGTCCAAAATGTGTGTGATCCATGCCTGGTAGAGATCCCTCTGTAGGTAGGACAGATGGATTGGGTGTAGGGAGAGAGAAGGAAAGGGCAGGCAGGAATCACGTGAGGAAGCACGTGACGGATTGCAGAGTGATTTAGGAAGCAGACCTGTTGGGACTTGGAAGCTGATGGGTACACAGGGAGAAAGCTGAAGGTGAGCTGCCAGAGTTCACTGCATGGCGGGGACATTCCCAATGGCCGAGCTGGGCCCACCCACCTAGGACAAGAGGCAAATATGGACTGAAGATGTTGACCTTGGAGAGTGATCTGCGGGAAGCGTCTGCAGGATAAAGGCTAGAGATGCTCAATTGACCAGGGTATCTTGAAAATCCCCCAGGCAGGCAGGGTGGGGTGGGCAACAGGAAACCAGACTTTTGCATGGCCTGGGGCTCCCGGGCTAAAACATATGAGGCCCACTGAGGGGCTTCCCCACACACAGGTGTCTCTGCAGCTGGCCTCCGGAGCCTTCCTACTCAACCAAGCCTTCTGTGAGGCCACGCACATCCCCATGGAGAAGCTCAAGTGGACCTCCCCCTTCACCTGCCACCGAGTGTCCCTCACCGCCCGCCCGTCTGAGTCCAAGACCCCGAGTCCCCAGCTGTGCACCAGCCCCCCGCCTCGGCACCCCTCCTATGACAGCTTCTCCCTGGAGCCTTCGGCCGAGGGCAAGCTGGGCCTGGAGCCGAGGGCAGTGGCTGAGCACACTGGGAAGCTATGGGCCACGGTGGTGGGGCTAGCATGGCTGGAGCACAGCTCGGCCTCCTACTTCACTGAGTGGGAGCTGGTGGCCGCCAAGGCCAACGCGTGGCTGGAGCAGCAGGAAGTACCCGAGGGCCGTACGCAGAGCACGCTCAAGGCCGCTGCCCGCCAGCTGTTCGTGCTTCTGCGACACTGGGATGAGAATCTGGAGTTCAATATGCTCTGCTATAACCCGAATTATGTGTAGTTGGGTGAGGGGAGGCTGGGCGGAGGGAAGGGATGGGCGGAGCCGTGTGGGCCTGGTCTGGGGAGCTTTTGGAGCTGTAGCCAATATATCAGTTACTAGAAAAAGCCCTGGCCTGGCAATCAGGAGGCCTGAGTTCAATCCCAACTTTACTACCATCCAGCCATGCAACTTCAGACCAGTCCCGGCCCCCTGTCTGGGCCTCGGTTTCCTCATCTATGAAATAAGAGGGTGAGATGAGGGTGGTGGATTGGATCTCAAATGGTTCAGTGGTTCCTTTCTGCCCGTTCAGGCAGTCCTGGGCCCACTGCTGCTGGGGCTGGGGAGAGAGGGCACAGTGGAGGCCTGAGCTTTCCCTGGAGGTAGATCAGAGTGGGCACAGAGAGGACACAGCAATGCCCACTCAACTAAAAGGGTGGATGAGAGAACCCAGTGACCACAAGGAACCAGGCCCGCAGGCTTGCACAGGCACATAGAGTCTAGCAAGTCTGGTGCTTGGAGGACAGGCTCTCGTCTCCATGGTAACAGCCCAGGACCCCCTGCATCCCACTTAAAAGCCAACTGGAGAACCATTCTTCCCAACACTTTGCGGAAGAGTTGCTCGTGGGACATTCGTTTCGGCTAGGAAGCTTCCTTAGTACGTACTAGTGCTGGCCTGCCGATCCGATCATTAGTGGCTCCCTAACTAAGACGAGGTGGTGGCAGGACCAGGGGAGACATCTTGTGAGTTGAAGTGTTAGATTTAAGTGGCAGTCTGTGCAAAAATAGTCCCAAAAGAATAGATATGATCAACTAGAAGTCAGTGAAGATGCCTGCCAGACAACACGTTACCTAATTTACACACTTCTAGGAACTGGGTAACACGAACAGCATCGCTTGTACTGACGCACTAGGGAGGCACCTCCGTGTAGGCCACACCGTGGGATCAGAGGGCCCTCTCGGGCCATGCCACACTGTGGGAGAGAGGTATTTTTTGCAACAAAGAACCATGCTTGGCTGCATTGCCTTTGGGAATGGCAGCTCTGGCCAGCGGGAGGCCAGATTTGTTTGGTGAAATGAATGAATTGACATTTCAGACAGGTTCCCTTGGTGGTTTCTCACCCTCAAGCCCACGGTGTGGTACCCACGTGGGGACTGGAGTGCTGTGGCCTCAGAGTCCCTAATGGCTGGCATTGAGCTGCTCAGTCTCCTCTGCCCCACAGACTCCCCTGGAGGTGGGTCTAGACCTCACCAAGGGACCCCACCTGCTTGGGATCTCAGGCGGAATCTCTCTACCCTGGAAGGCCCCTCCTTCAAGGCCTTAATCTCTCCTCATCAAATTCCTGTCCCAACCTTGGTGTGAAGCTCCACAGATTTCGGGAAGACCTTGAGCGCTTAACTTATCAAACCAACCCATGGGATCCTGTGGGCTCCCGCACAAGCCCCAGCCTCAGGAAGACTCAGGAGTGTGCAACCTCCAGCAGGGGCTGGAGCCGGGGAGGGGGTTTAGACTTAGTCTAAGAGGCACTGGAGTCATTGGATCCAGGCAATTCTAACCCTTGGGAGTGGTGATGGGAGAGGTCTGGTTTGGTTGGGGAGTACAGGGGTTGGACATCTAGCCCAGGCTTGAGATGGGAGGAGCAGAACCAAGCATGACTTCCTGGAGAAGGTCAAGGCTAAGCCAAGACTTGCAGGATGAGGAGTTATGGCCAAAGGCCTCCAGAGGAGAGGCTTTGGTCTTGCCATCTGTGGGCGTGGCCTCAGATTAGCACTAACGAGGCCCCCCTCTGCGCGAACGGCGAGCCCCCTGAGCTTTCAGACACGCGTTTATGATATGGGTACAGACAACCACAATAGTGCATGGTATCGCACAGCCAGAATGGCGCTCGAACTGGGGGCCTCCTTGTCCCAGTGCAGCAGAGGCGTCCCTGCAGCAGAGTGCCCTGAGGGCTCAACCTCCTGGCATACGCAGATGCAGCCTTGTCTCTGAGGCCCCTCAGGCTCGAGACCACTTCCAGGTGCCAGGAAACCTGACACCATACTTTGACAGACTTACGCTGGACTTGTCCATAAGCAGCCTCAGTTTCCAGCCAGCACCCCTGTTCCCCAGCCAGTCCCCTCTCTGAGGGCAAAATGAATGGCGTCCCCTGGCCTTCACTGACCTGGGCTGCCACTCACTGTGGCTGATGAAGGGACTAGCCGCTTCCAAGCCTAGATTCTGGTGGGCTTTCACCTGCTCTTGAGAGACATGAAAAGCAAGGGATCTTCCTTCTCCCTGGTTCACCAGGAAGGGCTGTCAGAAAAGGTTTCTGGAAGTTTCCTCTAGATCTTGACTTGCCCTCTGTCGATCCCTACCCTTATTTGAGGGCCATGCTACTGTCCCCTTCTCTCTTGCTTGGCAGGGACTCCCCATGAGAGAGAAGGAGGAAAGGGGTCTCCTCCATCTGGGTACAGCCTGCCCCCTCCACCCGAAGATTGGCTGCCCCGTTGACCTGCCTGTCATTCAGGAGTCCCAGTGCCCAATGCACATCTGTCTACGTGAACATTGTAACATCTCCAGGTGGTCCCCAGATTCAAATGAACTCTGTACTTTTAGTGCCCTGGCAAATGAGGGGTAAGGGTGCTGCCACCCCAGGAATGGGGCACGTGCTCATTGCCATGGCACCTGGAAGATTTTCTTTTTCTTAGCAATAGCGGAGACTATAGAAGTTAACAGAAAAAAGATGGACACATTTTTCAGCTGTAACATAGCATGCTCTGCAATGCCAGTGTAAAAATAACCGGGGCAAGGGTGTGTGTGGCATTTTGCAGCTGGGTAATCTGATCTGCAGAGATCTGTCCAAGGTCAGGGGCTTGGCAGCAGTTCCTGGCCACACCTACAGCCCCCAACCATGGACCTCTCTGCCCCGTGTGTCCAATCCTGCTCCCAGCCCATTGACTTTAGCCTCTCAACAGCACTGCCTCCCGGGGTTACTCACCAAGGTGGGATTGCTCCTGTTCATGCTGCAAATCTCCTTGGCTCAGAGCCAGCCGTCTTGAGCATACAGCCGTGTCCCAATGCAAAGCGCCTCATCTCAATGCAGCTGACTGGTGACACGTGGTATAGTTTCACTATCTGCCCAGGTGGCTTTGGCTCAAGTGGCATGGCTGGTGCTTGTCCCTGTCAGAGCCTCAAGTGCCTACAACATGCTACCCATGCCCTCGCCTGCTCACCTATAATGTCCCCACAGTGCTGTGACACTTTCTTCTAGGAATACACATCGCCTGCTTGCCTGGTAGCCAATTACATAGATGTCATGGAAGTCCTGGGTGTCAGCCATCTAGTGTCCACCAGTATTCAGCAGATCCCACCCTGGGGTCGTGTGTGTGTGTCTGTTCTCAAAGAAATGGCTTCTTTGTACATGGTGGCTACTGTTCTCCTCTAGGCTTTGAGCTGATAAAAATTATTGAACCTGATAATATGACAAAATTATACTTGTGTCTTATCTTTTGTTCTCAAAGCCAAGGATGCTTGGCTTTCATACTAGCAGTTCAGTGATCCGTTTGCCTCATTTCATGTGTCACATCTGTCTTCGTTCAGGTTCCCCATAAGGCGACCTATCGTCACCATGTGCCGGGGATTGAGGAAGGTTGCCAGGATGTAAGACTTTCAGTTTTAAAACTGGCTCAGTTCCAGTCACCCTGGAACAAGTTGGTCACAGCAGTTCCTCCAAAAGCAGAGCCTCAGACGAGGATTCAGTGCAAATAGTTTATTTGGGTGATTCCAGGAAACACCCTTAAGGAAATGTAGACGTGAAATAGGAATGCACAGAACACCAACAAAGGGAAGGTTACTAAGCAAATTACTGCTGCAGGTGTGGACCCACGCCCCACTGGTAACTCTGGGAGTCAGAGTAGGTGCACACCTCAAAGCTCAGTGAAGGAACCGGGTGTGTGTACTCCAGCTCCACTCACCCCTTGGGGAGGGCCATTCTGGAGGATTCCTTTCTTGGTGCTTCTGGTCTAGCACAGACGCCCCAGCTGAGCAGGCTCCTGCAGCCAGAGAAAGCCGCCGGGCAAAGAAGGGTAGGCGCTGGCACTAATAAAAGGAGAACATGATGCGATGTCTACCATGCCTTCCCTTCAGCCTGGCACCTCCCCTGCACAAACGATCGAGACATGCGTACAGTATCTTTGCGGAGTTTAAAAGTCCAAATATGCTATCTACCATTCCAAGACCTCTGTAACAATACATGACCAGAATGTATCATTACTGAATAGAGACAGTCTAAATTACGAAGGGTAATCTATATTTTTTTAGTACATGTTCGAAATTAGGAAGATGAACCGTGAAATTGATTTTTTGGTTGTTTTTTTTAAAAAAAAGACAGCAACGCAGGAGCTGGCAGATAGGAGTCAGGGCCAAGGGCACTGACCTGGATCCCGCCAGGGGGCTGCAGCAAGGCCCTGATGGCAGTGTCTCTCCCGAGCTGCTTGCCATGTTTCAGATTTCTCTGGGAAGCAATTCGTGATCATGAAATATATTTATCTGAAAATCATTACCAGCCACAATGTTGTCTTGAAACACACACAGACTGACCCCAAAATCAAACAGAAGCGTCATTTAGAAATCCTTTAGCAACTTGCCTTGTTTCCTCAAAATCAATCCTCCCTTTTCAGATTTGAGGGAGGACGATGGACTAAAATAGGAATTCCCAGTAGGCCAGAAACATTGCAGTGGGGTGTGCAGGGCTCCTAATGGGAAAAACTAGAGGCACCAATGGGCTGAAGCTAACATGGTGAACAGAAACACTGTTGACAGGCCTGGACCTCCCGGGTGAGGCTTGGCTGGATAACGGGCTGTGGCTGTGACAGGAAAGCCCTCTCGTTGGCGCTCACCATGGTTCTAGGCGGCTGGGGGGACCTGATGTCCCCTCTGTACCTCACTGACTTCTATGAGACTGGCACCACCTCTCCCTTTGTAAGACACGTGCTTCTTTGTTCTTTTCCTCCACTGTACATCCTGTAAAGGCCAGTTGTGTGTG